AACAAACTCGTTTAAACTTTTTAAGACGGTGATAATTTGACCAAAGCTTAAACAATTTATTGTCACAGAAGAGGAAATCCTAAAGGTGGCCCAACACGATCCAGACTGTTTATAGTTAATAAGCTATTAAAAGATTCATATCCTACAATATCCAGTTTACGACGATCCAATTTTTGCAAAATCACACCGTCCTAGGGTGACAATAGATAAAGTTAACCCGAGAATGGTATTTTTACCGATGCGTCTAGATCAAAATATTTCACAAAATGAACACCAGAGTGGCGTGACAAGAGTGAAAGATAACAGCTTGTGTTCACGAGAGAAATACATTATTTTCTTACATGCAATAGAGTGAAAAAAGAATACCCCAAAAAACAATGGTCAAAACTAAAAAATAGAAATTAAAAGGGGCCCTCTAAAAAAATGTTATATATAAGTGAATGGTTCCAGTAAGATAAAAGTAGATCTATGTTGCAGGTGCTTAGAATAAACTTAAAATAAGATCTTAAAAAAATCTTCTTGGAAACTACAAAGCCTGGTGCTACCATTATGTCAAGAAACATCACCTTGCAGTCCTCTACAAAAGTTATATAAATAGAGAATATATGGTACAAAGTATATCCGGTGAACGAGAAAGTGTATCAAGGTGAGCTTTAGTGAAGAATCGTGACCCTTTTCTAGTAATGTATCTCAGGTGAGTAATCCAGGGCCATCATGGCCCTGTTGTCATGCGTCATGTGCGAACGAACTTTTGTCCAGTGTCTTCATAACGATGGAACTGCGATGATCTGCACATCTTTTATGTCGTTTCTGTTGTAGATCAAGGTGCGATATATCTTGTATTTACGTACCCCTGTTAAAACCAGCGCGTACTCCTGCAAAGAACTTGGACTACCATGATGCGTACTTGACTGTAAATATATTCGGATATATGCTGTTTAAATGGTGCAGTATTTTTACAAATAAAATTGTTTTGTATTATTTCCAGTGTACATCGATTTGGTTATGAAAATGATTAAAAAATAGTCAATATATCGGCATCTGACAGTTTGTAAATAGTGCCCTTCTTTTATCACTCATCCCAATATTTATGTGCTGAAGATTGTTGAATACTACTTAAGCCGGTGCTAGAGGGCGTGTGCAATGTTGCACGTTTCATTATATCCTATGGACATACAGGATCTTTCAAACTGAAAGAGCCTGAAATAGACTTGAAAAAAAGAATCTATAATTTTACCTTTTAATTTCGTTTTTTTACAAAGAAAAGTTTATGTTTGTGCAGATCGTGTCACAGTAATTGCTTTACAAACAAAATAACCATCGTGATAAATGAATATTGCAAAGAAGTAAAATAAATCATTATTAGATATATTCGTACAAGTATTTTATTTAAAGTGTACTGAAATATATCGTGTTGCAATAGAAAACGAGTTGCTTTATTTATAAAGAACGCTTCTTTTAGTATAATCATGTCTATGAATATAAGACAAAGTAGTTATTTATATACAAATTATTTAATCGAGTATTATGCATAACAATAAATCATTCTAGACAATATACTAATAGAAGGATGCCAAATGAAGACTTTATCACATCAAAAATAAAATTGCGCTGAAATTTATTACAAAAAAAAAACCCAGAGATAATCAGAATTCATTTAGGAAACTGTATGATGGCTACTCGATCACGATTGTTATTGTGTCTAAACAAATTCCAGTTTATTATGTTTATCTCCATAGGAATGGGCAGCTAATACTAGGAAGTGAAGTATTTGCGTTGAGACTTCTTCTTAGAGATAACATTCTATGTCAACATGTAGATACTAAAATGAAAAAAAAAATATTCACCTCGCAAATGTTTAAGTAATACGCATGTTTTCTATGCTGTTAATACTTCCTGTCACAGTTTTTAACGTCCAATGCACATTGTATGGTAATGATAAAAATATACATTGAAATCAAATATAATTAATTAGTTAATTACTATAGTATTATATATTCAAAATATGTAATGTAGCAAGTTTTGGCGCCATTTCCAGACCAACTATTGGTATGACACGAGGAACGTTAATCATGCCCTAGTTTTGCCTTCTATTAAAAACAAACCAAAATATTTTTTAAAAGATTTGAGTCTCGATGTGAACATTTTTTTTAAATTTATATCTGAGTCATTGACATACAAACTAAATTACAAAAAAATCGAGCTGTTATTGAGAAATGGCTGGTAAATATCGATTGGATCTTCAAATTGTACAGCAGTCACTGAAAAAAATATCGTCATGCGCTTTTAATATTGACAGTGAATGGATCAGAATATGGCCATTAATGCCACGCTTACATTTTACTACATTTTCTTGTTGATGTTTTACTTTAAGAGGTATTTTCAGCAATTTTACGATGTCTGAAGACATTGTTTCTACCATGCTATATTACACAGCTAATAATACAAGTTATATAGTATAACGCAGTGTCAGCATCAATGTATGATTTGTAATTATTATCAAAACCAAACAACGGAAATGCTCGCGACATGGGGCTTTTGTGGTAGTTTCTATTGGTAATAATTCTTATAATCTTGTAAAGCGTTGCTACTCAATCGCGTAATTATAGATTGCTCTAACAATTTAAAATTGTTTTCCAGTTTATATGATCTACCTTTGTAATCCGCTCCAGAACATCATCAAACAAGCGTCTGACAGTGCTTGCTTGTATAACTTAATGGAACTGAAACAAAGCTGGGTTATTTATATACATGATTTACAGAGTAACAGCCTCAAATGGGACAGAGTACAGTGTTAACACATTCGTCCCGGTGTTTAAACTGAAACTGGTCTTTGGGAGGCAGTACACAGTTACGGTAGTTTTTTTTTTTAGTTTCGAATTGGCCAGGGTCAAATTCACATATAATTAGAGACCATTTTGTAACTGAAGTGATTATTTGAGCTTCTAAATATTTAAAGTTGCTATATTGCAAGTTTCAGTGGCTAGTATTGTGTTTCAGTTATCAAGTTAAATTGATTTTAGTGGTGTTCGACCCATACATTTTGGGTAGTACCTGTCTCGGAAATCAGCTCTTCAAGTTTAAAAGGTATACAGAAGACATAAAATAGTGGAAAAACTAATTGCATGGATTTTATTTTCAGATTGTACATTGTTTAAGAATGAAGAAACAATATAGCTTGTGATAAAATTTTGTTTTATACATTTTTTGTTATTTTGCGAATAGGGGTAATCCACACTTGTTGTCGTTGATTTTCGCAACCAAAACAATAAAAAACACAGGGTTATGTGCCAGAAAACTAGGAGATGGACATGTATTTTTAATTGTTTGCTGTGAGATACCTATGTACATGTTAAATATGAAATGTGTTTATTTCAGGTGTATGATTACAGACTTTTGTGTTAGGTTTTGATTGTGACGCAGTCAGTTGTTTGCCGGGAAGCCTTGAAAACTGCGTATTGCCATCCCCCTGTCTAGTTCTGTTGTCCATATGGTTCATTAAAGTTATCTCTTCCGTGTGAGATATCAACATCCTTGTTTTCATTCTGCACTCATGTTATCAACGTCATTTAAGTGAACAAAAAACGAATCAAAATAGATAATACAATAAATGACAGTTTGACTCATTTATTGGAATTAGATTAAAAAAATAATAATCAAACAAAAGTTTATAAACAATAAATAAATAATTTGAAATAACACAGCAATAGTTAAACTGTTTCATTGCATTCAGAACAATACATGTAGATAAGAACAGAATCAATCACGTTTTCAGAACATTGTATTTCATAAATACAACTGTTTTCAAACAACAATATAAAAATTTATAAAAGTTCGGATGATATTAATGCGATATAATTTTGTTTAATTTTCAAATAGCATTTCATTAGGTTAAACACAAGTATACAGTTAACTTCTGGATGAACGTTTCGTATTTTAGTAAACAAATATCTCAGTATTGTTTGACGAAGCTTTTGTTAAAATAAAACTTAAATAAAAATAAAAATTATCACTTTTGCCAATCCCTTAACACAATTGAGATATTGACATCAAACATTTTTATTTTAACAATACTTTTATGATGTCTGCTATCATAGTAAAAGTATAATTATTATGTCTTTATCTGTTATAGAAGATATATAGAGCTTTCAGTGTTTAACCCCTACCCCTGCTGATCAGTAGTGAGCCATTGCCATCACTATAGAGCCTGCACTTTTTCTGTGCACGTTTACCTAACTATATACTGTTGGCTGACTTATTGTAATTTTTATCTTGAAATTTTCAGCAAGATTCATAATGGACAGTACAAAAATTAGAAAATGGGAAAGTTTATCTAAGAAAGTCGGAAGGTAAATGGGTAAATAGTGTGTGACTTGTTGTCAATAAACAAAATGCAAACCGATGGATAAATCAATCTATGAATGACTTCGAAAAGTGTGCATTTTAAATATTCAAAATGGACAAATGAAGTGAAAAGACTTTCTTTTTGATGTTTTATAAACAAGTTTTAAAAGTAAAAAATCACACTAACGACAGATATGTTTTAAATATCACACAAGTTCCTCTATTTACAAAAAACAATAGCCTCTTCATTACAATTTAAAATGAAATGTCTTTTCAATGATATGCACATAGTAAAATTTTAATTAATGTCATTCGTTAAAAAAGTATGATATCAATTTAAAGTTTTGATAAAAAAAACTCAAAACACAAGATACCTAAGATATAGTTATGTATTACCACTTGAATTCAATTATGAAAAAAACAGACTGCAAATTCCATAGATTGCTATTCTAACTGTCAGTTTTATTTTGTTTAAATATGAAACTTTAAGTGACATATTTATAAACAATAAAAAGATATCATAGAAAATGAAGAGAATGTTGAAGTATATTTGTATGTGAATTGTTATATGATTATGATAATAAATGTTCAGCAAAATAAAAGATTAAGTTTCGTCATTGTTTGACATGTTTTTATAAACAGTATAAAGGATTAAAACTTTTTTTTATATTTATGTCATAAAAAAATTTCACTTTGCGTTAAAACAATTATGTCAATCAAAATACGTGACGTTTTTTGATACATCTTTTCGGTTTATTTTCTCTCGACAAATATTGAATATTAGGCCATATGAATCAAAATTCGAATGCAAAAGTAAATATTACATAACAAAAATACTTTTTCGACACATATATTGTGTACAGACTTTCGTTCATTGAATTATATAAATTAACCTTTATTTTGACACCTCTTTTAATACATTGAATCTTACAAATTATTGAAATATTGTCTTGCAAATATTGGAATGTTAAACAACTTGTCAGCTAAAAATATCGCCTTTTCTTTTATGCACATAATTCATTTCATGAAATCAACACATAAGGACATCTACTTCAGTACAGCACTGACAACTTTCTCTCTGTAACTTTCCCAGTTGATTTGGTCATCTAGGGCACTCCTTAATTGTCCAGAACTTGGATATGGGGGTAGCTGAAAGAGGAACAATTTCTTTAAATTCTTTGCATATTGGAATTAATTACATATGCATGCCCCCAGATCAAGAAAATAAACCTTTAGAAAAATGAACTTAACTTTTAATAAAAGTAACAATATTCACAATTCAAGACACAAGTTTCATGTTATATGAAATTAATGACAGATTTAGCAGTATTTTTATAACCATATTTTTACTGCATGACTAGCGCATTAAGCGCTATTTTAACGTATTCTTGCCTATCTTAAATATTTTTTTTCTAGATTTCAAATGTTGTTCGCAATGTTTTTTCATGAATCTGGAGGCATGATGCTTTAAGACCACTGCAAGCAAAGTTAATGTTGCGGTTGTAACGGAGACATAATGTTGATGGCCACGCGAGGTCTAAATTTATTTATTAGTACGAACTAAATCATAAAACAAGCCGCTGATTTCATGCAAATTTTATTGAACGGTATAGTCTAAAACTTACTTTATTTCGAAGTCTATGAGCTATTATCGTTGTCATCTGATCTTTTAGAAACTGTTTAGATATAAGGACGCATTCTGCACCATTGCTCACCTGAAATATGATTAATGTATTATCAACTTCTTGTTTTATCTACTATTTCTGGAAAACATTTGGTCTTTTATGATAATAAATCAATGAATAATAATCAGATTAACATCTTTACATACGTTTACCAGGAAACCAATCATTATCAATATTATAAAAAATATACGGATATACCTCCAGGATATTACTTTTTTATACCGTGATTTGTTGATAATATAATTGTTGTTGAAATCAAGCAACATTTTGTTTTTAAAAAACTAATGAAATAAACCAGCCTGCTTAATGTGATGATTGTTTGAAGGCTTACAGAAACACATGATCGTAAAGAATGTGAAAAATTAGAGTGCAAATAGTTATACTTACAAGGCTAAGATTTGGCATATCATTATAAACTAGCGGATGTAATCCCTAAAACAAAACAAAATATTGATTAACTAGTCAGCAAAACATATAAATTTTGAAAATGATTTATTGTGTTTTATCATGTTTTAGTCTCAATTTAATTTATTTACTTTGCATGTGAATTATTTGATTATTTATCTATCAATATATTTGTTCGAAATAAATGGTGATGAATGACTGCATAAATCTATAGTACTTTTTGTTCTTTTTTTATAATATTTAATTATTTTAAAAAGAACCTTCATGCTTATCTATGTTTGAGCAATAGCGTGAAAACATAATTTTCGAGAAAAAAAGGGAATCAAAATATGATATACTCTTAATTTTTATTATATCATGAAGTTTGAATTCTGCATAGTTTTCAATTGATTATTTGACTATATATTAACTTCTTATAAATGGTTTATCGTCAGCACTCCATTGAAAGACTTGCTAATTAGTTATTCTAAAGCATCAAGCATTGAGTGGCGGCATGGCCGAGTGGCCAACGCGTCGGACAAGTAATCTAAGGATTCAAACCCCGTCAAGGGCAAGCCGTTGTTTCCTTGAGCAAGAAACAGTACACTTATTGCTTAGTACTGGTTGGTTCCAGGAAAGGATTCAGAATGCTTCAATAAGCTTATAGCTTACAACACAATCGAACTAAAATAAATTCGTATAAACTAAACTAAGGCACCAATAAAATTGTTATCATAACCTTTTTTTACCATGCATTTCAAAATAAAAAGAAATCCTTTAATGAATCTAGACAAATTGAAATGCACGTGAACTACGCAAACCAATCCTTTTTGTTTGAAATAAGATACGCGATTACTTATTGAAATATAACATGCTGAAATAATGTTTAAACCGTTCCTTGATGATAAAAAATTGAACATTAGATATTTATCTAGAAATTTTAGACCCGACTTTATATTTACTCTTTTCTAACCTGATATTAAAGTTTAAAGTATAATGCGTGGACAAAGTAGACTGTATAAATATGTACTTACTAGCACTCCTTTTAAATACATTGTTACAAAGAAATAGAACAAAATAAAATGGCGGTGTATACTTACAAACACTCCTTTCTCCGACACATTTCCGAGCCTAACATAAAACATGGAACCTGTCGTATCGACTTGTGAAACATCCTCTGGCCAACTTGAATACTGTTTGTGCATGTCGTTTTCGGAATTGTTCGAACTTCTTCGTGAATCAAATACACTGTCGGAAGATGAAGTGCTATTCTTTTTATGATTCTTATTTTGATATGTTTCTAAAGAAGGACTCGTTAGATGAGTTTGTCTATAGTTTCTCACGGCATCAGGAGTTTCACACAAAGTTGAACTGGCGCGGGAAAGTCTTAGTACCTCGGAGGAAGTCTTTTTTCTGGCCGCCTTAGGTGAGACGTGTGAAAATTTCTTTCTCGTACTCGGTGAAGTGTTCTCTTTACTCCCCTCGTGCAATAATGGTGACTGAAATAGATCGGTGTGTATATATTATTGTAAACTTAACCAAGTCAATCATCCTGTACATATACATGTCAAAGAAAGTCTGTATTACTTACAGCAAACTGTTCATTTAGTTATAATATACACAAGGTCACACATTGTCATTGCATGGACAAGAAGACATGGTCGCAAACATTATCAACAGTTCAGTCTCTTGATGATGAAAACCTTGAATATTGTTAAGAAGCGAATATTTAAGTTCTTAAATGTTTAGAGCGTACAGCTAATATATATATATATATATATATATATAGGGGGAGATTAATCATCAATTATTTTTGATGTCACTGAAAAGGTTTTCAATTTCACTGATTGAATTGAGAAGAAGGTATTTTATAATACTTACAGACGGTTGTTGTGTATCTGTTGACAATGAGCTTTGCACTAAAGAAATCTTCCCTAATAATAGAAAAAAAAAATTATTTACTTATATCGGCTATCTTCACCAGAACTATTTATTATGGGCCCAGTAGTGACCTAAGTCTGTTTTACGAGATTACAGAGAACGAAAATATTTGAAACTGATGTATTTTTATTTTGAATTTCGTTTTGGCATTTCAATAACGTTTACCTTTTTGATAAAAGTAAATGTTGCTTGTAACTACACGTTGATTTTCGTTGCATTAGACATCCATATTGTCATATTTTCATAACGTAAATAATAATCTTTTTTTATATCACCCCATTGTACATAAAACATAAAATAAGAATGTCCAAAGACTTTGCAATAAAAAAATTCTCTGTAGAAATCCTAATATTGATATTAATGCTGCGACAGCCTAGGAAATAGGTAAAATCTTAAGTAAAGGTACTCAACAGATCTTCAAATGCATCTAAATGAAACTACTTTAACGTATACATTATGAAAACTACATAAAACTACATGAAACATAGCTAAAATTTAACGTCAAATTTCTGTATAGCCTAACCTGGACTTAAACTAGGTAGCATGGTAAGCGACCGCTCAAGAGTTGGTGCTTTCTTCTTTCTATGTTTCTGTAAAAAATACAATGTTTATATAGAATACATATCTTTACGTGAAAAAGTGGCTATATTCAAATTGTCTGTATTTAAACAATCGTTTAGCAATAATGAATACAAGGTACAGTTTTGAAATATGTAATAAAACTAATAATTCTTAAATGCTATTTAGATTTAATGAAATAATGTTTTACATGTCAGAACATTAGATGGATGGCGAATTTTTAAAACACCTTCTTTTGCTAACAGTGTTAATAAACAAGCAGTTTTTGTTTACAAAAACAAGATCATTCAATCCTGCCAGATATTTTAACAGATACTGTAACATATTTTAAACACCATTCTGTGCAGACTGATAATTTTATAAAATAACAGAATTATGTAACGCTTTTTGTCCTCATTATGTGCGTTACATAACCACTTTTGTACCCACTTGTTCACACTGATATATAGATACATGTATTATCTGTTACCAATAAAGTGAATGGTACTCGACAGATTTCTCACAACAATTTAAGTATATGATAGCATGTCACAATTGTTGACTCACCTTGTCTGATACCTCATTGATTTCCATTGTTGAAGCACTTTTTAAAATATCTGCAATGTGATAAGATAAAGTAAGTTAGTTTAAATGAGGTAAGATTATAATGGCTGAGCTCATTACTGCAAGGGAGGGATTTGTATTTTTTTTTTTAAATCCTAATTCAGGCTAAAATATTCGAAGTCATTCTTTTAAGGTTTTATTTTGTTGTTGTTGTTGTTGTTGTTGTTGTTGTTGTTGTTGTTAAGAACAAGATTTGCGTGTTTGTGCCGAACTTAATACTGTTATAAGAAATTTAAACATTTACACTGGAAGCGATTAGTCTTTGTCACCAGTAAAGAGCCGGACCAGCCTTCACTGCTGACTGACAATTTTTCATCTTTATGTCCACGAAATTGATCATGGTCTGTTCCAAAATTGATGTTTGACAAGTCATAATATGTAATTCGGCAGATTAAGGGTGAAAAATAAAGATATCAGTCACATTAATTGAAACATTGCTTTTCAGTAATAATATTATTATATAAGCAATCAAAGGATTCTTTCTGCAGATTGAATATTGGCTTACCATTTTTGTTTCTATGAATGTTTGGAAAAAGCCCGGAACCTTCTCGATAAAGCTTTTTGGTGCTGGACGCTGGACGGCTTACTGGATGAACATGTCTTTCCTTTTTATGGCCTTCTTTTATGGCTTTATAAACTTGGCACGAACCCTGGAAAGCACAAATAGTTATCAATTAAATCATATATAATACAGGATTAAATTACATTGTTAAAATTTGGGAAGGACTGTGAAACGTTAATATAAAAACGTAATATTTACTTGTAAATCTCATCAATACGACAACTATAAAACTAAAAAATGTTTTAATAGGTAATGTTCATCTAGTTAATTTGAATGCCGATGGTTTTGAATAAAGAATGCTTTAAATATTGTTATAGCGAATAAAGTTTTTAACAAACATACTTAATTGGCATTAATGTAAAGTTCTTAACAATATGTTTTGTTACAAAGAACAAAATTGGCCACGTAAAATATGTTTGGAGGAAAATTTGACGCGTTTCTGTAACCTAAATATTTCTCACAAATACTGTATTTTAGACGTCTTCACCGGATGACAAATACTAGATGTCATAAGTAATACCTGGCGGTTAACCATTAGTACTTATCCGAAGTTTGACGACCGTTCATTTACTATTTGAAACTGATTCTGCTTTAGTTATATCTTTAATGTCTATGTAGATACATTCTCAGGCCAAATTTAATTGAATGAAAACGAAATTATTAGCTTTCTGCAAATATTGTTGTAAGATAGATTATTTCACAATTATGATGGTGCTATAAGATATGTTATAAGCTAGATTACTGTATACACACTGATAATTGTGTTACAAGATACATAACTGTACAATATTTATGATAGTGCTATAAAATTAAGATACATTGTACAATGGCAATTTCATGTTATATGATAGATTACTGTACAATGACAATATTGTGGTATAAGATGGATTATTGTTTAATGATAATATTGTTACAAGATAGATAACTGCACAATTATGATAGTGCTATATGATAGATTGTTGTACAATGGCAAGGGTGTTATATGAATTATTACTGTACAATGATAATAGTGTTATAAGCTAGATTACTGTACACTGATAATTGTGTTACAAGATGGATACTTGCACAATTATGATAGTGCTATATGATAGATTGTTGTACAATGGTAATGGTGTTATATGATATATTACTGTACAATGATAATTTAGTGCTATAAGAATATTGTTCAATGAGTATTATGTTATAAGCTAGATTACTGTATACAATGATAATAGTGTTATAAGATAGATTACCGATCTAACAATATAGATCCATTCTGATTCGTTGCTACTCTTAGCAATGACAGCTCCTCTCCTGTAATAATGGACGGCCATAGAGAAATGATATGTCTGTAATAATTCCAGGGGAAAATCTGATAACTCTGGTATACACCTGGTGAAAAAAAATAATTTAAATTATCGCAACTTATTTCTTTCGCATCTCATAACAATAAACAATTGTTTAGTGAAATATCTTGAATTTCAGATACGAATAAAAGATGCCTTTAATGAACCTCAATGTCAATATTTTAAATTTTAAAAACATCAGGATATAAAAAGTAATAAAAATTTATGTAGGACTTAACTATCATGGAAACAGCGTTATAAACTTCTTAATTCAATTTCTGACATATTTTGCTTTACTTACTTCAGAAATTCTATAGAGCCGATACCCCCTGCCGCTTTAAATATTTCTATTAAAGCCTCTTTATCAACACCGAGAACCTCGACTGGCTCTTTGCAGACGACAGTGGCTGGCCGCTCCGTGTTCGTTAGTATCTCCTTTTCCTGTAAATATAAATTGGCTATATCAAATGTACATAATGTTGCATCTTTGTATTCTGAATGAAGAATCACAAGTACAACTTCATAAACGCGAAGAATAGGTATATGTGATATAGTGATTATATATGAAGTTGAAAGTAATATACATGCAAGTAGTGAACAGTGGATTACTTTTTTCCAGATTTTTATACATCACAACAGCGGTTGTCAAGGCTGTGTGGCAGCCGTAAAAAGCTGCCACGTACTTCACTTCAGTGTTGTTATATTTTTTTCTGGTCCTTCGGGATCATTGAATCCAGCACTTTGAAATCTTGAGAATTAAGTACCGCTCAAGCAGGTGCTATAGGGCCTGAGGAATGTTGCACTTTTTCATTATCCCTCATGTACAGACTCAATCAAACCGAGTCTGAAATTTTCATGTAATTTTGCTGTTTTTTATGCTTCCGAGAGATCACCTTTTCCAGATAATTACTAATATACTGGCTTTATCTCAAAACTGATTGAAATTAGAAAAGTCACAACCATATGTGTGCAAGGTTATTTATTTAACTTTGTTTTATTTAAACTATTATGTCAAACATTAAGTAAATACGTGTAAAATACTCCAATTCCACACGCATCTTAATATTAAGGGTTTTAATTATAATCTTCAAACTTATTTAATCTCCATAATCAGATATTCCCAAAAGATAATTATATGTAGCAGACTTGTAGTTATATGTGTTTTAACGTTATGAAATTACCATTATGAGCCCACATGTTTAGACTACAGAGTTTATTGCGTTGTTTTTGTAAAATAAATAAAACATAAAAGGAGCGGCAGCCTCCGAGTGCCTCTCCCAAATTTCCATTATATTTCAGTAAAATTGTCTATGTTGAAAAGGTAAAATAATACGTCAATTTGGACAGTTTGTGGTATTTTACTTGTGTTTACACACTTATTGTTATCTGAAAGTGTTTTAAAGGTAATGTATTTTCTTTCTTTGTTGCCTTCCGTTTATTTTCGTGATAGGTACGTTGTACACTAGCACTAGTGTAAATGTACGCTCCTTGAAGAAGCTAGTACGTTTGAACCTGGAAGCACTAGGAGAAAAAAATCTGGAAAAGGAGTGATCATTCGGAAGGCATGGAAACAGCAATATTATATGAACATTGCAGACCCTGTTTGAATGAGTCAGTTCATGAAATATAATATTAAAGTTCAACATCTCTCACGCCCCCCAGCACCGGCTTAAGCGGTATTTAATCTTCAACACTAAAGTGCTGGAATCAAAGGAAGTCAAAACTTTTTTTTCAAATATAACTGTCACTTATTGGTAAGACTGGATATGAAAGTAGGTCGAGTACTAAATATGATATTAGATATAGATTGATTATATTACTATAAACATGTTAAAGGACGTAATTGTGAAATATTGCAGGATATAACCTACCCCAAGAGTGTCTCCAGGTTTTAGATATGAAGCGACAAGTTCATTATGTGTATTGTGGTGATCGTCTACATTCACAGATATGTCCCGATAAACAGCTGGAAAAATAACAAAACTTTAACTTATTTTCCCTGTAAAGCCACAGCTCGATTTTTAAGCAACATTTTACAACTTTTATTAATCATTTCAGGTGCATTTTCTGGTTTTAACTAGTACATGTATTTGTATCTGAAAGGAAACGTCTTCTTGACCTGACCCTAAAAGAGCTCTAACCATTTAACTCTTATGTAAGGTAGGTAGACAACCTAACCATATTTAATATAATTAAATATTTAAAGAAAACAAAATTGTCAGGGTAGACAGAAATAATTATAGTGCTAGAATATAACGATGCATTTTTGTGTGATTTGAGCCTTGAAGACCGCCTTTCATATTCATATTTTGTAACTAAGAAAAAGTATAATTACTTAACAAGATCGACTTTTGGCATTGTCGTGCAAATTTTCTCCAAAATGATAACAAATTCTTGCGTTTTGTTTGTTTGGATTAGATAATAAAGAGATAATAATCAGTGAAATTATACAAATTATTTCTCGTCTGCTCTGATTTTTTGTAATCTAACAAGAAGAACGCAAGAAATAGGGATGATTTAAACCATAATGTGTCTGTTGGTTCTGAAATACACGCATTTAGAAATACTTTTTGGTCATTTGAAATGAAATTATACGATATACCAGTATGTGAAAATGTCTCAAATTACCGAAAGTGAAATCTGTGTTCTATTTTCACTTTCTTCCGCATGGACCCGGGATATCCCATTCTTAATACAGGTTTCTGGGAAAATTTGAATGCACTTTGTTTTTTATCCCCCAAATTTTTTTTTGTTTTATTTTAAGATTTTTAATATTAAAAAACTCAAAATAAAAGGGGTTTTAAAATTATTAAGTTTTAAAGTAAAATAATTTTTTAATGAATTTGGAAGCAATACCCAAAAAAAAAATTTTACCGGGCCCCGATAAAAGCAAAAAATAAATTTAAAAACTTTATTTAACTTTTTTGCCCTTTTAATTTTTTTTATCGAAACAAAATCAATTCAATAAATCAGCTGTTAGTATAATAAATCAATACACGTGTTTATCATATCAAAATAAACACATACATGTATGTTATTTCATAACAACTAACTGATAACAACACGTAAATTCAATACATGGTCAGGTATATTTTTTAGAATGGTTAGAATGTTTAAGTCAAAAAAGTATAAGCAATATCATGTTATCTGATAATACAATGCATAATAAGAAAATGTTGCCATGCGACCGTCAGGTAAACTAAAAAAAAAACATTTATTACGTACCTATACCGGACAAAATCAAATAGTAGAAGTCCGCTTTATTTCCTTCTTTCACAATAACTTTGGAGGCTTCAAATCTGAAAATAAATATATAAAAAGATGTTTGCATATAAATTCTTCAAACATACAAAAAATTGAATACAAACTACTGAATATCTACAATTTCTTTTTTACAATTTTTATCTATTACAAAAATTTAGTTTTATTTACTTACTTGGCATACCAGCCTCGCTTCATTTGAAACCATTTTTTATGGCATGTGGTTGTTTGGGAAAAAAACTTAAACGCACCTTTTATGCATCATCATAAAAAAAAAAACACCTTTTTTTAAATTTTATTCTTTATTTTTTTTGTTTTATTTTCAGCTTTTTTTTAGGCCTTTTAAAAAAGACGACCCAAAAAAATATCAAGTCTCTAGTGGAGATCAATCCATGATATTTCCCTTTTCCTTTTGGAACTGGGCTGTGCATTTTATATTTATATTTAAAGATAAAATACTAAAAAAAACCAGGGAAAATTTTTTAAACTATACATTTTTTACGAAAATTGAATAAAGGATATGGGAAAATGAACAAAAAACAAACACTTAAAATTTTTAATTTTCATGTACAAAAAAAGCTGGGCCTACTAGTCGAAAAAATGTTTTAAACAGTTTTTCCTTTTATTTTTTAAATCTCTTAAAAAAAGCCTTTAATTTTTTTTTCAAAGAAAGTTTTTTTTGATGCCCCAAAAAATTTTTATAGGGGGAAAGTTGACGCAAAAAGTGTCAACATTTGGGAAAAACAAGAAATTTTCATAAAAAATATTTTAAAATAAACCAAAATTTTTAAAAATATTTTTTGTTTTTTAAAATTATAATAAATGGGAAAAACTTACCCTTTATTAATTTGTCCATTGTCCTTTTTAAGGCGGGGCTTTTTAGACAAATTTTTCACCATTTCCATCTTAGTTTTCTGAAAGTAGTCCAAAAACGACATTTTCCTATTTCTAAACCATTTATGTGAACATGAATATAGAAACGTCAACTGTTGTATTTTGTTGAACAGAGTGTCTCCACGGACCTCTTGAATGTACAAATAAAATAACTTCTAATAAAGGTAGCTTTACAAAATAAACAAATTCGCTTGATATATGTCAGTTGACAAATAAAAATTGAGTACCAGTGTAAAATAGTTTGTTTCTTCGGTCTTCTTTCGCTATCATTGTATATGTTAACAGCTTGAATTTCGTTGGGATTTTAAACAAAATTTGTCTCTGTATCTTCTTTATAAGATAATAATCAAATTATACAAAATTATTTTTTTTTTACACTTTATTACTTCGCAACGAAAAGAATGCACCCGTTTTTTCATTCGAAGCAATGCTGAAGAAGGAAGCATACCGATTTTGACAAATAAGGGATTTTTAATAAAGCCAGCCCTTAGCGGAACTATTCTAGTACCTTGGCCCATCACTTGGCCAAACTATCACTTCTTTGCAAGTATATTGAAATTTAATTTTACATTTCATAATTATTAAAATGCCATTCCAAACCAACGAAAACCCCCGGGAAAATTAAAAAAAACTATAATTTTGAATGTTCGACAGCTTACTCAATTTTTTTTTTTTTTTAATCGGGAATATTTTCATTTAAATTTCTAAACCCCGAACATTTGAAAAAAATACGAGAAACAATGTGTCAAAACCCCAGGGCAGTGAAGAAAGGATTTAAAAAACCCATATTCTTTTATATCTTTAAATGGCTCGAGTTTCATACGTAAATAAAATACTCAAACATGAGTTTCCTTATTTTCGTAAATAAACAAAGTGAATAAAATACGACCATCTACTTAATAAAGTGATCTAAATGCGTTTTAAGTGATAAGTATGTAGGTATGACTCGGTGCAAGTGCATTGTAAATCCTTTTAAGTTGCCGATCATTGTTTGTATTTTGTTTTAATTCACATACATTTGTGAGATCATTTAAACCTAGAGTGTTTACATCACAACGAACTATGTTCGAGAGAAGATCTATAGATTTCTTTTAAAGAATGGTCTTTTCTAGAAAAAAAATATTATAAATTAACTTTTTATGAGTTCCACGGGCATCTTTTATCAACAGCGCGTGAATCATAATCATTACAGAAAAATGCGCCATCTGGCGGCAATTTAAAACTGCCGGGCAACTTGCAGTACCACATCGGTTTGAACAAAAGAAGAATTAACGATGTTTTGTCTATAAACTTTACCGTTTCTAATCAGTTTTTAACTTTTCAAGTACCAACCGCATACAATGATAGCTATTGTTTATATCGAGGTATGTTAAAAGATAAAAACCTGCTTAATTCTGTAAACACGAACATGTTTTTCTCATAGGCATTAACAATATTGTCCTTAAATGAAAAAAAACCAAGTTGTAGAACTAATATTCAATAATAATTAATATTTAAACTATTCATCATTGAACTATTGGTCAACCATTATAATTTGCAATTGTATTTGCAACATAGTTCAAATCGCTATCTATAACAATTATTTCATATCAATTTTCTATGGCTTTTTTCTTTTAATTTGTCTTGATAATACAGTGTAAATAAGTAGATAACTATTTAAAGGATAAAATATAGCTGGGCTAGAAGGTCCTGAGCTTTTAAATTAGTAGAGGAATACTTCAAATTATGGAACCTTTTATGAAACCAACTATTTCAATTAATGACATTCATACTATTACCTCCTCATATATACACGGGCATGATATACATGTAATGAATGTGTAACCAAGATAATAGATATTTTGCATGTTTTTTATATGATTACACTTCAATATAATAAAGACTCACCTGTCCTAAACTCTTAAAGGAACTTAGGTCGAACTTAGGCTCGGACTCACAACCTTCCATGTCAGCCGTACCCTGTCGGTCCATGAAGAACAAAATACTGTCCCTCCGATTGAGATTCACTGTACGCCGACTATAATAAACAAAAAAAATCAACATATTATCCCAGAGTAGATATGAAACAAATACATCTTTATGTTGTCTTTATTCCACCATCCAATGAGTATAAAATGGTAGTGTACGTCGAATTGCAACTTTATGTATGCACAGTGCCGCCAGAAGAAATTGGGTTTTTTTTTTTCTTCTAAAAATTAATAACAGAATCATCATCATTTAAACATCTAATGTAGTCATTCTTATCAAGTATTATTTAAGTAATTTAAGTTTAGTTTAAACATATTTTACCGCAAAACATACATGTAAAATATAATGCAAATGATAAGTTTATAACAAAAAGCATATTGGTTGGGTAACATGTACTAACAACTTTAGATTAAGCCCTTCAGAGCAATTTTAGTAATAAATTATGCAAATATCTGGGAATAATTTACTTAACGAGTGGGTTGACTCATGTTGACCAGGTTCACTATGTTCACTATCAGTCTGAGACCTTTTCTAGTTCTTATTAAATTAGCAACTATAATATCTAAAGGAGATTCTTAAGACTTTAATATACATGGTTCAAAGATGTGAATGTCAAAGCGTCATTCATTATGAGTTAAAATGAAAGTAACAAGTAGTAATGTACAAGTAATGTACAAGTAATGTACAAGTAAATAAAATATCCAACTTACCATGTGAAGACGTTTTGAGCAAGTATCACAAAGTCCACGATCCTTCTAAACCTATCAAGACCCTTCATGAACAAATATAATCAGATTAATAAATTAAATAAATAAACACGTTTCCTACATCACACATAGTTTCCGTCACAACCTTATAGTTTTTCTTTCCATTTTATTCGTTTACAGGTTAAATAATTTCGAATGTGTCCCAACGACAAAGGCAAGTATAAAAAGATAAAGCGACCTGTGTTCGTACACAATTTAACAATTCAACAATTCATTTATCTCAAACACTTGAGTTACTGCATCTATCATTTAAACTTTAAAACAGAAAAATCATATAGAATTAGACAATACAAGATTATTGTCCTTTTGATAAAGGGTAAACATATTCTCATACTTTAGATACGCAACTTTATGAAATAAAGTACAACGCACATCAAAATATTCTCTGTGAATATCGGACAAAGTTTGAAATATACATTGTATGTTTGATTATCTAATTTTGACATTGAAAAATTATTACATATTATAAAAATGCATTGTTGTACACGTGTTTTTATCACTTAAAAAACGATTTTTATGTCAAATGAAATGAAAGTTTGCGACCACAGCGTTGAAACCAATTTTTCAATTGTATGACTGTGCATTTTTTTATTGTTACAAATTTATAGACCTTGATAAATATTAATAAATTTTATCAGAGTACAAAAACCTATAATTAAATAAGAACGTGCTTTTCAAATGTTACAACACTTGTAGATTTAAACAAACAATACATATCTGCTGGTATAAATCATTTAAAAAAATGTATCTTTTATATGCAACAAAACGAGGACGGACAGCGTCAATATATTGATATTAAGTGACCTAGTGGAGAAGTCGTTGACTTCCCAGTCCAGAGACCGCGGGTACGAACCTTATTGGGCGTCACAGTGATGTCTCCACGAATGAATAAAAATGCAAGTAGCTGCTTTAAAGTGATTAATGTAACTTGAAAGAATGTATTCAAAACATTTTGTTGGGAAGGGGATTTAACATTTCGATCCGGAAAATCAAGTGCCCATTTTATTGGTTTATTGAAACTCATGAAAATAAACAAAATCCATACCACTCTGCCGGTTTTCTTGAAACTCCATACATGAAGTTTTGATATTTCAGTTTTGTTCGTCTCATTAGAAATGTCTTCAATGCTATTTTCATCTTCATCATCGTCCGAATCAAACGCACCGAGAAATATTCGGTTCGAAGATATCTGTGGTAATTCAGAGCCTTTATACTCGTTTAATGTATCTTGCACAAGTTTGTGCACCCTATCAGGTCGCTTGGACAAATCCGGCGTACTAGACGTGTATGAGTCTTTATTCTTAGCACCATGAATAAACGGACTTAGTTTGATTTCCGTCTTCCCGGGACAGTTTTTAGCATCACTTCGTTTCTTCTTCCGCGTGGTACTATGGGTACGAATCGTCTTCCGGTGAATAGTTGTCACTTCCTCCTCCTCATATCGAACTCTCTCTTCCTCCTCCTCCATTTCAAACACTTAGTGTCAGTCTATCCTAGTCCCGTCTTAAACTCTCAAGCTAAACACTTACTCATTTCAATTTATGTTCACTGAAATAAATCTAATGATTCTTTCCGTTCTAATCAATACTTTCAAATTTAACGCCGACTTATGTTTTATCTGTTGAATTGCATAATAAATTCTGTTTCAAATAACCAAAGTGTTGGTGACACTTTAATAACTCTGTAACAATCAGAAATAATGTGTATTCCAGCAAAAACTTGACTTATTCTTATAGCAGATATTTATTATGGAACCATTAATCTTCCTAAGTTATGAAACATGAGTTTAAACAATTCATGGTTAAAACGGGATTGCTGTAAGGTGAATGTGTCTATACAAAAGTTTTGCTTTGACAACAAAAAATGTAACGGCATGCATACAAACGTCTGGTGTGAACAACGTTATACTGGAGAAGAATGACAGCTGAAATATTGTCAAATTTTCAAAATTGTAAACATAGTGCGTGAACAACACCGACTTTCTCCATTACATGTTAGAATTTGAATACCAATAAACAGGTAACTACTGACGCGGTATATATTCTATGTCGTCATTTTGTTAAATTTACTACAAAATTAGACAAGCAATAGTAGTTTATCTTCTGTCTCGGACATCGGGTAGGGAATGATATACATTTATCTGTATGTCTTAATGAGAATTTTTCGTCTCTAAAATAGGTAACAAAAATACCATCCTTTTTAAAAGTAATATCTTCATATATACGGTTACAAGGTTATTATTTTTAAATGTGGATCACTGAAAAAATTCACACAATTTATCTGTGAAAAAAGAAGACTTAATCGTTGTTTTATTCAATTGTACGTAGTGCTCGGCTTTTTTCTTCTATACTTCGTTTACACATCAGCCTTTGAGAATTCGAACGTGTATATTTTAGTAATATATATCTTGTAGATATTAATATATAGCCCTATATCTTTTAGAGATTTTCTACAATCTGGTAAGAAATTTGTGTCTTGTAATGGATAATGCCCTCAATTTATATTACAATTTAACATAGCCATGGTGGTGTAATGTGTGAAAAACGAAGTGTCATGATTAACTTGTACTTATTTATAACAACTTTTTAACAATACAACCACATTGCCACGGATTGAAAAGACTGTGATTTTTATTTTATTTTATGATAGTACAATATTTCAGGCCACTTAACCATCTACTAAGGGTCTTAATAAAAAAAGTTTCAACATAAATGAAAGATAATTGAACAAAGTATAAATCTGTTGTAAGAGGCACGTTTAACACGTAAAACTATATATAGATTACTTTTTTCAGAAATCAAATCATAATTTAATTTATATACTAAACTCTAAAGAAAATAATTAGCCTATGTACTGGCACACAAGATATGCCAGTTAATGTAAACGAAGTATCCCAAAAGACAACGGCAATTTTTAGGGTGATATAATTTGTAGAGGGCTGCATGTAAAATATCACGTTCTAGTCATTGTAGTTTCTGAACAGATTTGTTTTCTTTTAGGTAACAAACGTTACCACAGAGCAAGGTCATCAAACGTGACCACAGAGCGGGCCTTTTACGTACCCAAGGAAAACTTTATATTCATACAACTTTTGAAGACAACTATCCTAATGCAACATCAAATATCTAAGTTCTATAATACAGTGTAGCTTTACATAAGAAGATTTAGATGTAATTTCATAAATTTGTCAATGTAAATAAACTCACTATAATTTGTAGAGGACCACAAGGTAATGTTACATGCCAAATATGTGAGCTCAGCTGCCCAACTTCACTAACGTTCTCAAAAAGAGATAAATCTCAACTTGAGAGTGTCTCAATATGGACTGAGATTCTTACTCACCTGAGAAAAATCTCAAGTTGGCTTTCACTAAACTTTTTCTCAACATTTGAGAATTTTCTCAACTGAGACTGTTTTTTTTTTATCAAGACATAAGCGGCTATTATTGTTGATGGGCTTCTATGACAAAAATATGGAGTGTTCCTTTTTGTAACGAAGTATATAGTTGCTGTTTTGATGTAAGATGCCGCAACAGGGAAATGTTTTGTATATTTATTACATTAAGTAGATCTATATTTTCTTGTTTTATTAAAAAAAACACCAAAAAAAAAACAAACAACAATAAAAACACCAAGAAGTATTGAAAATGTGTGAATATTTCAATGCTAATGAAAATAATTTATCAAGAATGAATGTAGAACTTACAGATCAAAAGAAAGCAAAACAAAATTCAACAAGAACCGGTTGAACCGGGTGATGCTTGAACCGGGTGATGCTCCCCGAGAAGGTTCTGGACACAGGAAAGTATAAAAAAAATGAACAAAGGGCAATAACTCCAAAATTAGACCAGGCTTTGTTTAGGTTCTTTAAGCGTTGCAGTTCTATCCAATTATATCTAGCTACCTACAAAGTTTCATGTTGATATCTCTAATAGTTTTAAAGTAATGTCAAGGACAAAAGTCAAAAAGTAAAAATAAACAAAGGGCAATTACTTCAAAATAAGGCAAGGCAGAGTAATGATTTTTAAGCACTGCACTTCCACCCAATGAGATCTATCTATCTACAAAGTTTCATGTTGATATCTCTTATAATTTTAGAGTAATGTCCCAGACAAAGTTCAAAGTGTCAAAATGTGAACAAAGGACAATAACTCCAAAAGTAGGCAAGACAGTGTTACAGTTCTTGTGCACTGCAAACTTACTCAATGAGATCTATCTACCTACAAAGTTTCATGTTGATATCTCTTATACATTAAGAGTTATGTCCCGGACAAAGTTAAAAGTGTAAAAATAAACAAAGGGGGATAATTAAAAAATTAGGCAAGGTAGAGTTACGGTTCTTGTGCACTGCACTTCTACTCAATGAGATCTATCTACCTACAAAGTTTCATGTTGATACCTCTTATACTTTTAGAGTTATGTCCAGGACAAATTTCAAAGTGTAAAATAAACAAAGGGGGATAATTCAAAAATTAGGCAAGGCAGTTACAGTTCTTGTGCACTGCACACCTACTCAATGAGATCTATCTACCTACAAAGTTTCATGTTGATACCTCTTATACTTTTAGAGTTATGTCCCGGACAAAGTTCAAAGTGTAAAATAAACAAAGGGGGATAATTAATAAAATAAGGCAAGGCAGAGTTACAGTTCTTGTGCACTGCACTTCTACTCAATGAGATCTATCTACCTACAAAATTTCATGTTGATACCTCTTATACTTTTAGAGTTATGTCCCGGACAAAGTTAAAAGTATAAAATAAACAAAGGGGGATAATTCAAAAATTAGGCAAGGTAGAGTTACGGTTCTTGTGCACTGCACTTCTACTCAATGAGATCTATCTACCTACAAAGTTTTATGTTGATACCTCTTATACTTTTAGAGTTATGTCTAGGACAAATTTCAAAGTGTAAAATAAACAAAGGGGGGTAATTCAAAAATTAGGCAAGGCAGAGTTACGGTTCTTGTGCACTGCACACCTACTCAATGAGATCTATCTACCTACAAAGTTTCATGTTGATACCTCTTATACTTTTAGAGTTATGTCCCGGACAAAGTTCAAAGTGTAAAATAAACAAAGGCAGATAATTCAAAAATTAGGCAAGGCGAGTTACGGTTCTTGTGCACTGCACTTCTACTCAATGAGATCTATCTACCTACAAAGTTTCATGTTGATACCTCTTATACTTTTAGAGTTATGTCCCGGACAAAGTTCAAAGTGTAAAAATAAACAAAGGGGAATAATTCAAAAATTAGGCAAGGCAGAGTTACGGTTCTTGTGCACTGCACTTCTACTCAATGAGATCTATCTACCTACAAAGTTTCATGTTGATACCTCTTGTTGTTACAAAGTTATGTGCCAGACAAGAAAAGGGGACGGACGGACGGACGGAAAGACGGACATTCTCACAGGACAGTAATTATGTGGCTACTCTATTGTTCTCTCTATTGTTCTTTTAGCCACGCAAAAGAAAAATAGCCACATAAAAGCATTACGGAATGAATGACATCAAAGAGAACCTATTGTCCCTCTAGCCACATAATTACTCTCCTGTGAGTGCGGACGGACGGACGGACGGACGGACAAGGCGGCGACTATATGCTCCCCCGAAATTTTTTCGGGGAGCATAATAAATTATTTTTAGTATGATAATTGTGATGTGATGATTTCATGACATCATGAATAAGAGCGCATGATGTCATCCACAATAATCAGTCAATATGTTACTATATTAAATTAATAGGAAATTAATTGCCAGAAAGGTTAAGTTATGTTTATTTATCAAAATAACCATGCAGAAAGTAAATACCCTTGAGAATAATAATTTAGCTTCACTGAGACATAATCTGAGACAGCCAAACCTTGTCTCAATATATCTGAGAAAATCTCAAATCTTAAGTTGAAATTCTTCTCAATATTTTTTAGTGAAAGCCAAACTGAGAAATATCTCTATCTCAATTTCTGATTTGAGAAAAATCTCAGATTTGAGCTGAGATTTTGACTTTGAGACCGTTAGTGAAAGCCGGGCAGACACTGTACTTTCTGAGAAGAATTTTACAGACGTCAGTTTTAAATTTTATCTTCAACTATGTGACATACTTATGCATGGAACTGGATGAAACAATTTATACAACTGGAATAGAGATCGCCTAAAGATCATTCCTGTGAAGTTTGGTAAAAATCTAGCATGTGGTTAGGGAGGATATGTTATTTTGTTACATTTTGGATAATGACACACTGCACATAATGGACATTATGGTACAAAAGCTCATCTCTGAACACTTTGTGTTAGGTGAGCTAATATTACAAGAAAGTATGATACTTCTTACATTTCCAGTCTTAAAATGCTGAAGATTTCAATTTCTAGCCTTTTTCAAAGTGTTAATTAAAATAAATGCCTACAGGCAAGAACAGTTTCATTGACATTTTATTTACAAATTTTTAATACAAAAGCAAAGTTTAAACAATATGTGAAGTAATTAAAAACAGAGAAAAAAACAACAAAAATATATATATATGTGAACATAAAATGAACTATACGACCAATTATACTCACTGTTGTACAGGACCATATTAAAATAATAAATACTAGAGAAAGTGTCTACAAGTACATGCTCTGCATATATTGAATTGTTAGAACTTAATAATCAAAACTATAGTTTCCTTGATGTTACCTGATAATTTCACAAACTGTAAACATCTACTTCTTATCTTTAATGAGAACTTCTTTGTTCATTAAAACATCATATCTTTTCCATTTGTAAAAGTTAAAACGAAATATTGACATACGAATATTGTACTGACTTTGCAGGTTTTTTTTTGCTTTTAATCTTGACCCTACTTGCAAAACAAATCATTATAAAAGTACAAAATTTCTTTCCTCAATTATATTTTTTTAAAGTAAATCAGACACAGAAAATCAGACTTAAGTTTAATCAAATAAAAAAATAAGAAAATGTAACTTAGTTACATCTAACATTAATAAAAGAAATGAAATTTTTAAAATTAATCAAACCTATTTCTATCACATTAGTCTTTTATCTGTATAGAGAATAAAATGCCGTGCTTTTGGGTTGAATATATAATACCCTGCAGCAATTAACACAAAGGTATGACCATAATACCAAACTACCTGCCTATCACACAATTTCTACATGGTCTCTGGTTTTGTTCTTTACAAAATTCTTCATTAACAATAAGAATACTGATAGCATCATATGAATAATGGCAAAAAAATAGTTTCCTATGAATATTTTTTTCTATTTAAGTATGACTTTGACACTTTTAGGAATCAAGATAAAGTTAACTATCAATGCTCATTATTTTCTTACTTTTTGTTTGGGTTTTACATCGCACCAACACAGTAAAGGTCATACATGACTTTTCAGCATTACTAGTGGAGCAATACCTCCTGTGCCCCTCCCTGCATTATTTCAAAAACAATCCTGGTGGGATTCAAATTCCAAATGGTGCAGGGCAATTGATTATAAGACTTTATAAACAAGAAATCTTTAATAATAAAGCCCTTTGGAGACTCATAATATTTTCTCATTCATGAAAATAATTGCCAATCTTAAAAGCTTTTGAACACAATATACAAATATAACATGCAATTCAAGTCTTTTTAAGCTCTGTCACTGCCTGTAAACCAGTCTTTAAATCCTTCCATATCATTGGTTTGATTTGAAAACTGGTTTCAATATTAGCCAATCAAATGGTAAGTTTTAGACTGGTACCAATTTCATCTCAGCAGTTGTAGAACTTTATCAGACTGTCATGCAGCATGTGTGTTTGTGTGTGTATATTTTAAGTTATAGTGACAAAAATATCTAGAACTGAGATAAAACAGAATAAATATATACAGCACACAAGATTTCTTATTCTTCTTAAAATCTAACTACATGTATCATGATTTTTGAAACATGTTTATCTTATTCTTTGGCTTTACATTTCTTCTTTTTAATTTTGACAATCACATTCTAAAAATGCACATTTTATAATTGAAAGAATATAATTATGCACCTTAACTCAATGCGCAAAACTTCATCCAATCATTTCACTAAGCACCCTACTAAGTTTACTATTTCATTCATGTTTCTATGAGGTACACTAAACCTTCACTTTATCTAGTTAAAGAATCACTAATTATCTCATTTCAGTGGGGAAAAAAACCTACAAAAATCAAAGTGACAACTGGAGATAAATATACAGTATATTTAACCTTAAATATTTATTGCAGACTTATCAACAAAATTTACAGTATTGACAATTTTTCTAAGAACTATATTGTAAAACAGGAACCATTCACAAGTGGAAATAATTCAGTGAAAATCAACACTATAATTAATTTATGGGTCTTTGTCAGTGAACCACAATATCACATCTCCCGACCCACGTCAGAAGATAAATATCTTCAATGGTTGTGAAGACACAACATAAAGCCAAGATTTACACAGGGTCTTTATTCAGGATAAATCTATGCTATAGTTATTGGACTTGGATAGTGATAAGTCATAGTGACTCAAAAGATAAGTGTGAACTTAAGTGTGAACTTTCAAGAATATACTTAAATTGTTAGGAGGGATATAATACGCACACAGAACCATTAACAAGTGTAATATCTACACAACAGATAATAGGAAGTCCCCCATATTGTTTAAAAAAAACCACCCCACTGTTGTTTTGTGTACTACCTTAAGAAATATGAAAGGAATTTTCAGGCCAACAAGAGTAACAAATACAAAATATGAAAAACTAAAAAATGATTCAAGACTTTAATAGACTGACTTAATCAACACATGTATAAAGGTTGCACAACCACACCAAAGCCACTTAAAAAAAGAGTAAAGAGAAAGCAGCTATACTGGTTTTCAAAAGAAATATCAACAGAAATACAAGAGAAAATAGACACATTGACAGAGGTACAAGTAAAAACAGCAAAATAAATATACAATTAAATAGAATAAATATAGCAGAAAAAAAAACAGCTAGAAACTAAAACATTTTCAAGAATGGTTTTGTTGAGATGTTACTTCCAGAGAATATTTGAGCCGCGTCATGACCAACATAATGGGTTTGCGACCAGCATGGATCCAGACCAGCCTGCACATCCGCGCAGTCTGATCAGGATCCATGCTGTTCGCTTACAGACCCTATAACAAGTAAATAAACTGATAGCGAACAACATGGATCTTGATCAGACTGCGCGGATGCGCAGGCTGGTCTGGATCCATGCTGGTCGCAAACCCATTATGTTGGTTTTGTCATGACACGGCTCATTTCTTTAAAGGTGGCAGCACCTACATGGTATACTGCAAAATCAGTTTACAACAGGTAATTAATAATATGATTCTTATTTTATAACGGATCAAAAATACAAAACTATAGGTGCATCACTAAACATAAAACTTTTGCACTTCAATTACGATACTTCAAAATTTTTTTTTTTTAAAAATCACTTCAAAGAATTTATAATGAAAGAAAGTTACAAAAAAATAATCGTATCACAATTTTAAAAAATTGTCTTAAAACACCAAACAATATAATCACATCCAATCATAGCAAATACTACATCATAATGACAATTAATTGAAGAAGAGAAAAGCTTCAGAGAATATAAGACTTACTTATCTTTTATTTTCTTAAATCAATGCTAAACATACCCCAAAAAACATGTTACCAATTTTATCCTGTTGTCATTTTCAGATTAAACATAATTACAAGTATACATTCATACTAATAAATTAAACAAAATCTGACCAAAGTACAGCAGATGAAAAGTGAGCATATAATGTATTTGTATCATGTACCGCCAATGGCCTTGTAACTGCCCCGTAAACTGTTTTTATTCGGCAAAAGAACAGTCACTTATATCAAAATATGAGACAACAAGTAATTCGTAAACAAATTTAATTCAATCTTGAAAGTTTATCATTTTGTTTATGGCATGTTCAGATTTTTACTACCCCCTAGAAAAAATATGATTTTTAGCTTACAATTTATGGATGTCTGGCTTCTTGAAATGTTTTTAGGCTTGATACATGTATAAGTACCACTTTTAGTGCCCCATTTTTCTGTAACTTTGTTAAGTGCCCTGGACACTTGATGGGATGATTATATAAAGAAATGTAAATCTATTAAACAATGATTCAAAACATCAACAATATTGTTTCAATATTTAGACTTATATTCAACATTTAACATCTCATTCAAAGTCAAAGGGACACAACTTCCATTCAACTTGAAACGCTTTTCACAAAAAAAAAAAAAAAGAAGAGAAAAGTTGTCTGACTTTTAATTTTCAATTTCTATCTTGAAAAATTGAATGTAGTTGCTTCATTTAGACAGTTTACGTTTTCATAATATAATCTGGCCAAAAATTAAAAAAAAAAATTCTTTACTTCCAATAACTACCAAAAAGGTGCACTAACCTATATACTACAAATGCCCTATATCTGAAGTTTTGCAATATCATTTAGCTACAATTACTTCCTTTCTTACTTTTCTTTGACATACAAGCTTTTACAAATTCAATGAAAAAAGTGCTATTATTTCAAAAACCTATCTGAACGATTTTTTTCATGGTATAAATCATACATTGGTGGGAGGGTGGGTGTACATATAAAGTTTTACCACTGAAGTATAATGACTATGCTAAGCTTGATTATGCCACAAGCATAAAGCCTGTCTCTATATCCAGGAAGTCTGGTCAAACTTTATATAGAATTGTCGTTCAATTTATCATTTTGATATTGTAATTCAATAACTAAAGTCTGAACAGTCCCAGATTCCAAGCATCACAATTTAGTTTCACAGTAGGTATGGGATTAAAAAACACTCTATATACTCATACATGTAAAAGCCTGTCAGCACTATGGAATGAAATGATGGAACAGCTACAAGTTGACCAATATAAATATATACAAAAATTTATATGAACCGTCATCCTAATGGTGTATTATTACAGTATAAATTTATCTTAATTTATAGGACATTCTCATACAATGTGAACAGATATTAATCATATAAAATATTAACACTACATTTCTTTCCTTTTCTTTTAAATTCTTTGGTGTCTGGTGTCAGAACATAGTAAATTAAACTGTCCATTATAATTCATAGCATAGCTTTTTTCCAACACTATCAGTATGTTTTTCAAGTTTATCAATTAAAAATATTTTCATGATTCAGCATTTTTATCAACTAAATATTTGGTGTATCTTTTGCCATTATAGAGGGTACCCTCTTATTCTAGATCACATGTTTATCACTTTATTGAAGGTTTATCACATCTATATATCATATACATGTATAATTTGATTAATTTAGCACATTAAAGCAGTACTTTGAGTGTAATGTTTAGAATCAGCTGTTTAGTTTGTCATTGCACAATATAATAACCCTTGGACACTTGACAATTTAACCAGTATGTGTTTATCACCAAGTAAAGTGCCTTCCAGGTCTGTTTATCATATCTTGTTTAAAAGTTGAAAGAAAGTTAACCTTCCAAGCAAAATGAGTTTTGCTTATACCATACACTATTTAATCTATAAATTGACTCCAATGTTCATTCTCTCACAGTCTATCAGCACTACATGTTGAATGATAAACTTAGTACACATGTTTATCATTTATGGTTTATCCTCCATGAAGTAGTCTTGACATGTCAGCAGGTCATGTCTGGTTTATAAAGTATAGTTCCATCCAACTTTTATATAACAGCACTATTATAACAAAGAAGTCTTATCTGTTAATCATCTATGGTTTATCTAACATGTTTATCATCAATTATCAGGTTTATCTTGTACTTCACCATCTTCTACAGAATCTATATCATCATTTCTTTGGTTACTTTCCAACAATGGGACGTCTGAAACAACAAAAGGACCACTGATGAATATTTAAAAATAAGTATAACCATCTAAACATTTAAAATGCCAAACGTCCATTAAAGTTTTATTTACATTTTAGCACAGCAAATATTGGCAAGTATACAGACAATATTAATCAGATTTTACAATTTAAATTACATACTGCATGTTGTGAGTTTTTATTTCGAATTCAGTCCCTTAAATATTTATTCAAGAATAAAACATTTTTGTGTGAACTTGCAAAATCAATGACCTAAAGTTAAATTGTGACAGAAAAAAATGATATTTTTCACTAAGTCATTTTTGCAGGATCTAAACTTACATATTAGGAAGTCATGTTTTACAAAACAAGTTGGCCATGATGGCCCTGGATCGCTCACCTGACACAACCGCATCCAAGCAATGTCTTAAACAAGCATCATGGCCAAGTTTGATGACAACTGAGTCAAACATGTGACCTCTAGTGTGTTATAAAGATTTTTCCATATTTGGGCAATGTGACCTAATTTTTGACCGGACACGACCCATATTCAAACTTGACCTCAAAACAACCTTCCTGACCAATTTCCAGGACATTTGGATCAAAACTGCAGCCACTAGAGTGTTAAAAAGATTTTTCTATTTTTAACTCCTGTGACCTAGTTTTTGACCAGACATGACCAATCTTAGCACTTGACCCAGAAATCATCAAAACAACCTTCCTGACAAATTTCCAGAATATTTCAATCAAAACTGCAGCCACTAGAGTGTAAACAAGCTTTTTCTATTTTTAGCTCCTGTGACCTAGTTTTTGACCTGAGATGACCCATCTTCGAACTTGACCCAGAAATCATCAAAACAACCTTCCTGACAAATTTCCAGAATATTTGAATCAAAACTGCAGCCACTAGAGTGTTAACAAGCTTTTTCTATTTTTAGCTCCTGTGACCTAGTTTTTGACCGGACATGACCCATCTTCAAACTTGACTTAGATATCATCAAAACAACCTTCCTGACAAATTTCCAGAATATTTGGATGAAAACTGCAGCCACTAGAGTGTTAACAAGCTTTTTCTATTTTTAGCTCCTGTGACCTAGTTTTTGACCGGAGATGACCCATCTTCGAACTTAACTTAGATATCATCTAAACAACCTTCCTGACAAATTTCCAGAATATTTGGATCAAAACTGCAGCCACTAGAGTGTTAACAAGCTTTTTCTATTTTTAGCTCCTGTGACCTAGTTTTTGACCGGAGATGACCCATCTTCAAACTTGACCTAGATATCATCAAAACAACCTTCCTGACAAATTTCCAGAATATTTGGATGAAAACTGCAGCCTCTAGAGTGTTAACAAGCTTTTTCTATTTTTAGCTCCTGTGACCTAGTTTTTGACCGGAGATGACCCATCTTCAAACTTGACCTAGATATCATTAAAACAACCTTCCTGACAAATTTCCAGAATATTTGGATGAAAACTGCAGCCTCTAGAGTGTTAACAAGCTTTTTCTATTTTTAGCTCCTGTGACCTAGTTTTTGACCCGAGATAACCCATCTTCGAACTCGATCTGTATTTCATTGAGACAAACATTCTGACAAAGTTTGATGATGATCCAATCAAAACTGTGACTGCTAGACTGTTAACAACCCAATTGTTGACGACGCACGACGACGCACGCCGGACATAGCCCCATCACTATACCTCACCTTGACCACTTCGTGGTCAGGTGAGCTAAAAAAACTGCACAGAAAAGGTTTTTAAGGGTTCACTTTCTCCAATTATAATGTAGTGTTTAAATAACTGCCTATCATATGATATTAACTTTGCAAATTTTAATATAATTTTTCAAATCTTAGAATAAAAATTAAACTTCTTTTTTAATTTGATGCTAGGATAGTTATTTATGAAGAAGTGCTGTATCTAACAGGAACAATGTAGATATACGAGGGTTGTCCCAAAATGTCGTAGACTACATTATTTTCTCTTCAACCTGACGTCATAACTTAATAAAATTTACCAGATATCTTCCTTGGTCATTTGTTAATTTACCTTCTTAAAGTAAATAGCCAATATATAAGGTAACGCTTTTTATCAGGGTTTTATATTAAACAGTACAACATACCCGGAGCACGATAAAATATTAGTCAGTGTTGAGAGCATGCTTCTTAAAAACATGCCTTTAACTTCCAGCATAATAATAATTATGGGAAATACATTCCTGTGGAACGACGTCATTAATTTTTACGCCATATCACCAACAGACGTTTATGTAATGCTACTTTGAAAAAATCTCTGGCATAATATGTAACAGCAATGCTATTTTGAAAATTCCCTAAATGGCGACGTCAGATGAAAATGTGGCGCAGCGCGATGTCATTGAATACTGTGTTCAGTTCAAGAAGCGTCCAGCATTAACTGACAACATGGAGAACATTATATTTTATCAAGATAATGCACCTTGCCGTAGATCTCAGGAGACACAGCTTGAACTTAATGTGATAGGATTTTAGAGACTTCCATACGCCCTTAGAGTTTGCAGTGTTTCCTTATGTGAAATCACAATTACGAGGTCACCCTGAGGTTCGAAAATTTCAGGGTACTAAGCAAGGAAACTCGACGAGTGTTGAGAACATTAAAATAGGACTATTTTGAAAATGGTTATGATAAATGGGTCGCCCGACACCGACAGTGGATCGAGAAACACGGAGAATACTTTGAAAAAAACATTTTTTTAAAATCTTGTAACGTCATGACGTTTATGACGGATTGCGCCAGGTATGTATATGTAGCATTCTTTAAATTTTAATAACTTGGTCATTTTTGGAGGTATTTTGATTTTATTTCGCATAGACACACATAAAAGGTGTATTGACTTTTCCCTAGCTTGACGACTCTTTTGTTTTATCATTGATTGAGTAACAGACTTTGTCTACGATATTTTGGGACAACCCTTAAACATTTTAAGCATACCTTCAGTTACTAAACTATTATTAGATGAGTTGATACTGCCTGCAGTTGCCCGTCGTGACACATTGGAATGATGCGATGATGCACTATCACAGGTTTCTATAGTTACAGCCGTTGATGCATCACTCATGCTCACGTTCACAGTGTCAATAGAACCAAACACTTCTGATATACCATCTCTATTCATTGTACTTGTGGTTATTATAGAATGTCTACTAGATGCTTCACCACTGTGCATTTGTCCTGCACGAAAATTAGTTGGAATGCTTGGTAATGGGCGATATTCTCCAACTTGTCCTGACCTCTGCTGTCCAAGATTATGCTGGTTATTTCCCCTGACAGCCTCTTCATATGATGGTAAAGCTACTTGGGCGTTATCATAGCCGATGAGTAACATACGATCTTGCTCATCCAGTGAATTGCTATGAACACGAGAATACGGTGGGGGAACAGAGGACGGTCGGCATAATCGAGGTGGGTGGGGTTTTCTACGCCTGAACACCATTATCACCATAATCAAAAGTAGAACACCAAGAACACTGCAAGCTGTGGCAACAACAATGGCTAAAGTACTCATGTGTGATTGACTACCTCCAGAACCATTGGATTTGTTATCGTTGATTTCCATATCTGTTTCAAATAATATAGACAAACATAAAAAATATTAATCTCTGAACAATGGCTATACTGAATACCATAAATAATAATTGAAGAGCTTGATAGTAATGCCAACCCAGATATTGTTTCATATTGGCCTAATGTTGTTTTTGTTAAATAAATGAACACAATTTGTTAATATTCTTTGATTTCTACCAATTTCCACCTGCATATATACATAATAGATAAAACTGACCTGCTTTTAATACCAAAATAAAAATCTTTCTTACATATGAATCTTGTCTAATGAGACATCAATACTTGACCTTCGTCAGAAATTCACATTCAACAACTGCATAACAATAATAGAAAAACACAAAACATTATTATATAGAGCTTACCTTGAACACAAGATGGCATTGAATAGTCCCAGTGTCCATCAGATTTACATGTAACAATAGACTGACCTATAAGCTTGTATCCCTCTTTACAGACACATTCTACATGCATACCTGGGAAGAACGGTTCACAGTACTGCAAATCACTCTTTGACTCACAGAAGCAACGCCCATTGTTAATAGCTTTGATGCTTCGACAATACTTGCTTTCCTCTAAAAACAAACATTCAATGCATTAAATGACATACAAATGTATTCTTTATACGTAAAACATATCTTTATTGTCATACTGTTGAGTTCAGTAAATAATCAGAGCAAGTAAGATATATTCAGATGAAGTTTTATATAGTTATAACAGCTTGATTGTAAAGTTATTTCCTTATGTATCAAATTTGAATCTGCTTTCTAGGCAATCAGTCATAATGATTTTGACAAGTAATATAGCGCTTTATAATCGGTTGTTTGCATATATAACCTGAGCTGCTGGGTAAGGGTTTTACTGCAAACAACAGTTTATATATGGCAATATAACCTGTCAAGAATTTTTATTTTATACTTTTATAATAAAGAAAACTTTGGTAACAAAATGAAATAATTTCACTTCATAAATTGACAGCAGCCATGTATATACTTTTTATATAAACATCATGATAACTGAATGAAAAGTAACAAAGTAAACATAAATTCAGACATACAGAAAGTAAAACATAAATTAAGACATGAAGACAGAAAACATTAATTTAAACATGAAGAAAGAAAATATTTAGTACAAACCTTGTAGGGGAACGCATTGTGGGGGATGATGGGACCACCTAGCCCCCTCTAAACACTCAATACTGGAAGGACCGATCATTTTATAACCTTCACTACATGTGTAATGTACAATAGTGCTCAACTTAAAATGAGTAAGATCATTGAAATCAACACCATCTACTTTAAAACCTCCATGACTTATATCATCTGGTTCTGGACACTTTTCAAGTGATACTGTAAAATGAATAAAAACAATAGTTACTGCATTTGTTAACAATTTTAAAGTTCATTTCATATTGCAATTGCTAATGGTTGTTTTGCATGAAAAAAAAAACACATTTAATCAGTCCCTTGTTTTACATTACATGAAGTTACTTTGTATTTCAACTTATATTGTTAAGCCACATACAATGTATATAAAAAGAAGTAAATTTGTTGATTAGTATTTCTTTCCAAATGATAATAATCACTTAATTAAAGTTTCTTAGCACATTGTATTAGATATCTGAAAGTAAGAAAGAAAATGAATTTTGTATCTTTTCCTATAATGACAACAAGCAATTATATTAGTATTGCAAGCAATCCATAAGTCCCCTACCGGTTAGAACCCCATCAACATTCTGAAGGGCCAATGGCCATTCACTAATGTTTCAATTTTTCTATATTTTAAGTAAATTTGTTGGAAAAGTTCTTTAAAAGTGATCACAGGAAACAGTTTTTATGAACAGACAGACAGACGGACTGAAGGACACTCTAAAGTTAATATTTGAAACATCCCTGTTACCAAAATATAACATTTTTAAAAGCAAAATGCTTAAAGAGGAGATAACTCTTGAATTAAAGATGCAATTTCATAAAAAAATTTCAGCTCTTTTTGACTTATCACAAACAATGTTATATTTGCCATGTTTTAAGCCTATTTGTTGCCAAGGCAACCAATATTTTTTCAAAATAGGGAGAACAGATAAGACATGCATAATCTCAAGACTGCCATCTACCCATATATCAAGTTTCATAAAAATATTTCCAGTACTTTTTGAGTTATCACTGGATTCAGTGTAAGTGTAAAATTTGCCATATTTTCAGTCTATGTATTGCCATAGCAACCAGAATTTTCAGCATAGGAAGAAAAGAAAAAAACGTGCATAATCTCCAGACTGCCATCTACCCATATTACAAGTTTCATAAAAATATTTCTATTACTTTTTGCGAACACAGGATCCAGTTTATGTGTAAAATTTGGCATATTTTCAGTCTTTTTGTTGCCATAGCAACCAGAATTTTCAACATAGGAAGAAAAGAAAAAGACGTGCATAATCTCCAGACTGCCATCTACCCATATTTCAAGTTTCATAAAAATATTTCCAGTCCTTTTTGTGTTATCACTGGATCCAGTTTATGTGTAAAATTTGCCATATTTTAAGACTATGTGTTGCCATAGCAACCAGAATTTTCAACATAGGAAGAAAAGAAAAAGACGTGCATAATCTACATACTGCCATCTATCAATATATCAAGTTTCATAAAAATATTTTCAGTACTTTTCAAGTTATCGCGGGATCCAGTTTTGTGGACGGACGGACTGACAGACAGACAGACGGACAGACAGACAGACAGACAGACGGACGGAGGGTAAACCTAAAGTCCCCTCCGGTAAACCGGTAGGGGACTAAAAAGCCCATACATGTAACAAGAGGGCCATGATGGCCCTGAGGTCGCTCACCTGTATATAGGCCCCCCCCCCCCCATCGTTGCAGGGCCAATTTAACCCAAGGGCTTTTATTTGCACAAACTTGGTAGACACCCGTAAGAAGATGTTTCATGCTAAACATCTAAGCTCTAGCTCATTGGGCTTTTTAAAAGAAGATTTTTTTAAAGTTTTTACTATACACATATAGTTTTGACCCCAGGGCTTTTATTTGAACAAACTTTGGAGACACTTACTAAAAGATGTTTCTTGCATAATATCTTAACTCTAGCTATTTGGTTTTTTTCAAAGAAGATTTTAAGTTTTTGCTATACACATTAAAGAAAATTTTGACCCCAGGGCTTTTATTTGAACAAACTAGGTAGACACCTATTAGAACATGTTTGATGCTCAATATCTTAGCCATAGCTCTTTGAGTTCTTTAAAAGAAGATTTTTTAAGTTTTTACAATATGCATATAGGGAAAATCAATGACCCCCCGGGGCGGGGCCAAATTTGACCCCAGGGCTTTTATTTGAACAAACTTGGTAGACACTAATTAGAACATGTTTTATGCTAAATATCTTAGCTCTAACTCTTTTGGTTCTTTAAAAGAAGATTTTTTAAGGTTTTACTATATGCATATAGGGAAAATCAATGACCCCCCTGGGGCGGGGCCAATTTTGACCCCAGGGCTTTTATTTGAACAAACTTGGTAGACACCTATTAGAACATGTTTGATGCTCAATATCTTAGCTCTAGCTCTTTGGGTTCTTTAAAAGAAGATTTTTTAAGTTTTTACAATATGCATATAGGGAAAATCAATGACCCCCCGGGGCGGGGCCAATTTTGACCCCAGGGCTTTTATTTGAACAAACTTGGTAGACACTAATTAGAACATGTTTCATGCTAAATATCTTAGCTCTAACTCTTTTGGTTCTTTAAAAGAAGATTTTTTAAGTTTTTACTATATGCATATAGGGAAAATCAATGACCCCCTGGGGCGGGGCCAATTTTGACCCCAGGGCTTTTATTTGAACAAACTTGGTAGAAACCTATTAGAACATGTTTGATGCTCAATATCTTAGCCATAGCTCTTTGAGTTCTTTAAAAGAAGATTTTTTAAGTTTTTACAATATGCATATAGGGAAAATCAATGACCCCCCGGGGCGGGGCCAATTTTGACCCCAGGACTTATATTTGAACAAACTTGGTAGACACTAATTAGAACATGTTTCATGCTAAATATCTTAGCTCTAACTCTTTTGGTTCTTTAAAAGAAGATTTTTTAAGTTTTTACTATATGCATATAGGGAAAATCAATGACCCCCTGGGGCGGGGTCAATTTTGACCCCAGGGCTTTTATTTGAACAAACTTGGTAGACACCTATAAGAACATGTTTGATGCTCAATATCTTAGCAATAGCTCTTTGAGTTCTTTAAAAGAAGATTTTTTAAGTTTTTACTATATGCATATAGGGAAAATCAATGACCCCCTGGGGCGGGGTCAATTTTGACCCCAGGGCTTTTATTTGAACAAACTTGGAAGAAACCTATTAGAACATGTTTGATGCTCAATATCTTAGCCATAGCTCTTTGAGTTCTTTAAAAGAAGATTTTTTAAGTTTTTACTATATGCATATAGGGAAAATCAATGACACCCCCCCCCCGGGCGGAGCCAATTTGACCCCAGGGCTTTTATTTGAACAAACTTGGTAGACACTCACTAGAAGATGTTTCATGCCAAATATCTAAGCTCTAGCTCTTATGGTTTCTTAAAAGAAGATATTTAAAGTTTTTTCTTTCGGTTGCCATGGCAACCAGAGTTCTGCATGGAATTAAACAATTTTTAAAGGTGACCACCAAAGGAACATTCCTGTGAAGTTTGGATGAAATTGGCTCAGTGGTTTATGAGGAGATGTCATTTAAAGTAAAAGTTTACGGACGGACAACGACGGACGGACGGACGCCGGACGAAAAGCGATCACAAAAGCTCACCCTGTCACTTTGACAGGTGAGCTAAAAATGGACAGTTTAAATAGCTCTTACAGTAAAGGACAACCTATTAAGATGTTACTTGTTCATTCTAATTAAAAATTACAGTATTCAACTGTTGTGAAGCATGAAAAAATTGTGCTAAAATATCCAATTCATTGAATCCAATTAGATCAGGTAATGCTATGGTCTTAAAACATTTACATGAAATCACTTAATAAGGATACAGAGATCTAAAACTTTACAGCTCATATAGTATACATACATTTTTAAAATGATTTTATATCTTCTAGCTTATTCATTTGTGTAAAAAAAACTCAAGTGGACTAAAAATGATGGCATATGATAGTTCACTACAGACACATTATAATGCTCATGTTGGGGTCCAATGTCTCAAAACCGCGTTCTAACAAGGCTCTCATTAGAACGCTCATTGCGAAATTACCGCATTACCCCTAATGATGGGTGTTATAAAAGGGGAGTAACTTTGCTGTGTTCTTCTATACTAAGATATGACTGAACAAAAATTTTGCTTTACAAATGGTCCATCCTAAAATATCAAAGGGATATAATGATGGCATTTTAAATTCACTGATAAATACATTCTTTTCAATTTATTAGACTATATATATACTACATGCATATAACTAACATAGCAGTCAAACATTTTGCTCTGGACAGAGCTTATTCTAAGAAATGGCTATTCAAAAGTTATAAAGGCTCATAACACAAAAACACAAATGGATGACATTTAATTATTTTCTGTTTTCTTGCACATTCGATTGATCAAAACGTGTCACATCAGTATTGAGAAAATTTTCCTCTCAAATTTCTAATGGCCATAACTTAATAGTGCACCATCAGATTTTGTGAATAGTTATGAGCATCATTTCCTAATTAATATATATATTCATACAAAGTTTCATAATTATCTCATTGATCAACTGTAAAATATGGCTCAAAAACTGAAGTTTTCATTATAAAATGCCCTTTAACCTTTTACCACATGAGCTTATTGTGAACAAGAGGGCCATGATGGCCCTGAAGTCGCTCACCTGTATATAGGCCCACAGAGCGAGGCCAGTTTAAACCCCAGGGCTTTTATTTGAACAAAATTGGTAGACACCCATTAGAAGATGTTTCATGCTAAATATCTAAGGTCTAGCTCGTTGAGTTTTTAAAAAGAAGATTTTTAAGTTTTTACTATACACATATAGTTAAAAGCAATGACATCCCTAGGGCGCGGCCAGTTTTGACCCCAGGGCTTTTATTTGAACAAACTTTGAAGACACTCACTAGAAGGTGTTTCATGCTTAATATCTAAACTCTAGCTATTTGGGTTTTTTCAAAGAAGATTTTTTTAAAAAGCTTTTGCAATACACATATAAGGAAAATCAATGACCCCCGGGACAGGGCCAATTTTAACCCAAGGGCTTTTATTTGAACAAATTTGGTAGACACCCATTAGAACATCTTTCATGCTAAGTATCTTAGCTCTAGCTCTTTGGGTTCTCTAAAAGAAGTTTTTTTAAGTTTAAGGGAAAATCAATGACCCCCTGGGGCGGGGCCAATTTTGACCCCAGGGCTTTTATTTGAACAAACTTGATAGACACTAACTAGAAGATGTTTCATGCCAAATATCTAAGCTCTACCTCTTTGGGTTTTTTAAAAGAAGATATTTTAAGTTTTTTCTATTTCTATTTCGATTGCCATGGCAACTAGAGTTCTGCATGGAATTAAATTCTTTGAACAATTTTTAAAGGTGACCACCAAAGGAACATTCCTGTGAAGTTTGGATGAAATTGGCTCAGCGGCTTATGAGGAGATGTCATTTAAAGTAAAAGTTTACGGACACCGGACGGACGCCAGACTAAAAGCGATCACAAAAGCTCACAGGTGAGCTAAAAATGGCCGTTTTTATTGAAAAGCCTCCTGTTACAAGTTCAAACTGCTATAAAACATTGCTTCAATGCTTCAATACTGATGAAACTTGGCACAAATGCTGACTGAACCATAACCTCTGTAACAGCATGCTCAGTTTTAAATTTCCTTTTAACATGGCAACAGGGGAAGTCTCAAAATTGCGAAAATTTTTCCATCAAAACTGATTTCAAAGTGCTGCAACTTCTCAATGCATTGAGATAGAGTTAAAGGCTTTTCAGCGTTGGTTACATGTTACCTTACGATCGACGCGAGGCCATTTTTAGCCTGTCACATGTCCAAAATTTTCATGGCGATGAGGGGGACTACCACACCCTTCAAACCCTGCAAACAGAAGGGGACCGCGCCGAAAAAGTGGTCATTTTTTTTGACAACATTTCTCAAGCGAAAATCGATGTCTTGGGCCTAAATAGGGCATTTTTTCACTGTTTGAGGTCTCAGAAAGGGGGGGGGGGGGGGGGGGGGGGGGGTCAAACAGCCGTCAAAACATGTCTATATGAGGGAAAAGGTTCACTAACCATGTGGCATACATTTCCATAAAAATAAAGTTCATTACAGAATACTCACTACATGTTGGCAAGTTTCCCTGCCATTCTCCATTTATGCAGACTAAATGATTTGCAGTACTATCCACCATAGTATAGCCCGAATTACATGTGTAATATATCCCCTGTCCTTCAACAACCTGCATTTTAGCCTGCGATTCATCAAATGATTCTCCTCTACTGCTGTGTGGAACATCTGGTGGACTACCACATAGGCTTACTATATACACAGAACAAAGTCTTTATTGATAATAAAATAGAAAATATTCAAAGATGTTAATGTTTAAAGTTTTACAACAAGACCTACTACACACAATATATTATTTCTTAAACAAAAAGAATAAAACAAGAGGGCCATGATGGCCCTGAGGTCGCTCACCTGTATATAGCCCCCCCCCCCCCCGGCCAATTTTTACCCAAGGGCTTTTATTTGTTTATTTGAACAGACTTGGTAGACACCCATAAGAAGATGTTTCATGCTAAACATCTAAGTTCTAGCTCATTGGGTTTTTTAAAAGAAGATTTTTAAACTTTTTACTATACACATATAGTTAAAAACAATGACACCCCTGGGGCAGGGCCAGTTTTGACCCCCGGGCTTTTATTTGAACAAACTTTATAGATATTTACTTAAAGATGTTTCATGCTTAATATCTAAACTCTAGCTATTTGGGTTTTTTTTCAAAAAAGATTTTTAAGTTTTTTGCTATACACATATAAGGAAAATCAATGACCCCCCCCCCCCCCCCGGGCTGGGCCAGTTTTGACCCAGGGCTTTTATTTGAACATACTTGGTAGACACCCATTAGAACATGTTTCATGCTAAATATCTTAGCTCTAGCTCTTTGAGTTCTTTAAAAGAAGATTTTTTAAGTTTTTACTATATGCATATAGGGAAAATCAATGACCCCCTGGGGCGGGGCCAATTTTGACCCCAGGGCTTTTATTTGAACAAACTTGGTAGACACTCATTAGAAGATGTTTCATGCTAAATATCTTAGCTCTAGCTCTTTGGGTTCTTTAAAAGAAGATTTTTTAAATTTTTACTATATGCATATAGGGAAAATCTATGACCCCCTGGGGCGGGGTCAATTTTGACCCCAGGGCTTTTATTTGAACAAACTTGGTAGACATTCATTAGAAGATGTTTCATGCTAAATATCTTAGCTCTAGCTCTTTGAGTTCTTTAAAAGAAGATTTTTTAAGTTTTTACTATATGCATATAGGGAAAATCAATGACCCCCTGAGGCGGGGCCAATTTTGACCCCAGGGCTTTTATTTGAACAAACTTGGTAGACACTCATTAGAAGATGTTTCATGCTAAATATCTTAGCTCTAGCTCTTTGGGTTCTTTAAAAGAAGATTTTTTAAATTTTTACTATATGCATATAGGGAAAATCTATGACCCCCTGGGGCGGGGTCAATTTTGACCCCAGGGCTTTTATTTGAACAAACTTGGTAGACATTCACTAGAAGATGTTTCATGCCAAATATCTAAGCTCTAGCTCTTATGGTTCTTTAAAAGAAGATTTTTTAAGTTTTTACTATATGCATATAGGGAAAATCAATGACCCCCCGGAATGGGGCCAATTTTGACCCCAGGGCTTTAATTTGAACAAACTTGGTTGACACTCACTAGAAGATGTTTCATGCTTAATATCTTAGCTTTAGCTCTTTGGGTTCTTTAAAAGAAGATTTTTAAGTTTTTTCTATATGCATATAGGGAAAATCAATGACCCCCCGGGGTGGGGCCAACTTTGACCACAGGGCTTTTATTGGAACAAACTTGGTAGACATTCACTAGAAGATGTTTCATGCTTAATATCTAAGCTCTAGCTCTTACGGTTCTTTAAAAGAAGATTTTTTAAGTTTTTACTATATGCATATAGGGAAAATCAATGACCCCCCGGGGCGGGGCCAATTTTGACCCAAGGGCTTTTATTTGAACAAACTTGGTAGACACTCACTAGAAGATGTTTCATGCCAAATATCTTAGCTCTAGCTCTTTGGGTTCTTTAAAAGAAGATTTTAAGTTTTTACTCTATGCATATAGGGAAAATCGATGACCCCCCCGGGGCTGGGCCAATTTTGACCCCAGGGCTTTTATTTGAACAAACTTGGTAGACACTCACTAGAAGATGTTTCATGCCAAATATCTTAGCTCTAGCTCTTTGGGTTCTTTAAAAGAAGATTTTTTAAATTTTTACTATATGCATATAGGGAAAATCAATGACCCCCCGGGGCGGGGCCAACTTTGACCCCAGGGCTTTTATTTGAACAAACTTGGTAGACACTCACTAGAAGATGTTTCATGCCAAATATCTAAGCTCTAGCTCTTAGGGTTGTTTAAAAGAAGATATTTAAAGATTTTTCTTTCTGTTGCCATGGCAACCAGAGTTCTGCATGGAATTAAATTCTTTGAACAATTTTTAAAGGTGACCACCAAAGGAACATTCCTGTGAAGTTTGGATGAAATTGGCTCAGTGGTTTATGAGGAGATGTCATTTAAAGCAAAAGTTTACGGACGGACGACGGACGGACGGACGCCGGACGAAAAGCGATCACAAAAGCTCACCCTGTCACTTTGTGACAGGTGAGCTAAAAACATAAAATTACATTTCTTAAATTTGGTTTTAACCTAAAAACATTATCTCAATTTGTTTCAACTGCATGAATTGCATTTTTATTTTTTATAACGAACTTTACTTTTGTTAATAAACATAATTTTCTTATTACCTTAATTTTTATGTTCAATTTACATCAAACTCTACAAGACACAATGAAAGCAAAGAAAAACTAAGATATGAATAGAGTCCAAGAACGAGTTCATTAAAACTAACATTTACTTTCAATCAACAAGCAATAGGGAACAAATTACAATGAATTTGATTAGACAGCAAGAATGAGCAAGATGGCTTAGCCCTGAACATATAGCAAGGGTCTGTCATCAACATCCATTACCGTGCTAAATATTCCAGCTGATTTTGGTCTACATTGATTGCAAGGGTAGATTCAGCAAATATTAACACTATCATCAGTTATTATTCATAGCATGACAGTGATTTTCCTGCTTATATAACAGACTCCGATAAATAGAGGATATTGAATGAGTGTAAGTTCAATACTGAATTTATTGCACGAGTTGAATAAAATTATATTATGCGAGCCTCTGGCGAGCATAATATTATTTTATTCAACGAGTGCAATACATTCAGAAATGAACTTACACAAATTTAATATTCTATTTATCACATACCAAAATTAAAGACAGTTTAAAGTGCAATAAGAGTCATTTTTCATTGACGCGCATATAGTATAACGCTAACGTTTAGCGCGTCTTAACACTATGTTTGTATAACCCTAATGACGTCACATCAAAATATATGCACGGCCGTGCAATACCATATTTACAGAGTCGCAAAATCAACACGGGTGTGTGATAAAGGCCTCTTCCTAATTGAAATTTTCTTTAAAATCATGCAGTTTTCCTAAAAATCTGAACTTAAACCTGCCTTTTTACTTCCCAAATTGTAGCAACAATTTTTCCCAAAATCAAGTGGCTAAGACCTCTTCCCAATTAAGTGAGAAAAATCACTGTGTGATATAACAAACCTGAGCATTGAGGATTAATTATCCAACCATCACTGGTAGCCCACTTCCCATCCTGACTACAGTATAAGTTGAGATTTTTCACTAAAGTACTGTCAACTTTCATTGCATATTCATCATTACATTGAACTAGAATAGAATCCCCTGGTGTGAATTGAGAATTGAATGCATACTTTATGTTACCGTTGATTACATATGGTTTCTCACATGTCACAGTTTCTGTAAATAAGAAAATGATTTGATGTTATTAAAACTATAATACGTCTGAGAATTCATAACAAGCATATTGATCATCAAATATTAGCTCTCCTAGACACTACACTGATACATGTATATAATTTTGCAATTATGAAAACAGCAAAATTTTACTGTTTCTTAAGATTTTATAAAATATTTCTCCAGATAGAGATCAGTCTGATCATGGTGTGCACTGTCCGCTAAGTGGTGTGGTTGACAGGTTCTGACATTGATTTACTAACACCTCAACATCTTGTGTTTAAAGGGCAAGATTAGAAAAGCACTGAAATGTTTCATGTGAGGCACCTTTTCTTGTTAATACATGTATAAACTTTTCATTTTGAGATCCCCGATGAATGATGCATGTCTGAGCAACTTAGTGCACAGAGGTATATCTTGAGCTAATCCTCCACCATTTATGTGACCTTAACAGTCTTGTACATTCATACAAAGAAAGATTTTCTTCATGTTATTCTTATTTTGAAAAAGAAACCTATGCATTATTTACATTTTGAAATAGCACACATAACACATACCAAAAGCTGGTTTAACCTCTACACCTGTAAGCTGACATGTAGGCATCTGGGGATGGTTCCATGTGCCGTTACTTAAACATATCCATTTATCCGGCCCTTTCAACTCATAGCCATTATGACATCTAAACAGTATTGTCTTTGGACTGCTTTTCTCCATCCAGATTCCATTATGAAAATCTTCAGGATCTGTACAGTTTGTACCAAAACCTTAAAGACAGAATTGATATTATATATTGGTTATAAATAAAACAAACTTTCCATTTAGTTCTGTCATAATCTACAAGCACAGTTTCATTGGAGATTCTGTATATCTATCTACACTTGCATAAAAAATAAAATTCAAATAAATATGCATCTTTGACAATCAGGGTTTTCCCATACTAAATTTTCTGTGATAATGATACAAGTTTTGGTCCCTGGACAGCCATTTTCCAGGGACCCCTAAAATTTGCCAACAGTTTAAGAATTTCCATCCCATTAAGATAATTTAGGTAACTTCTGTATTCATAAATTTGGTTACTTCTATATTTAATATTTATGCACTTTTTTTATTCAAAATACCATGTTTACAAGCTCTACATAATATAACTCTAAGATGGTTTTTTGATTTAGAAGAATATATGCTAAGACCTGTTTTACTTATTTCTATTGCTGAAAGTTAATTTCAATATTCAGAACTAAAACTACAAAGGCTATATGGACACTCAATATTCTGAGATTTTTGGGAAAACATTGTTTATTCAGTTTCAGTTACTATTTTTATTATTTCCTTAATATTGTTGGCACATACATTGTTGAAAACTGGGTAGCCGTTCAGTATTTATAATGGCTAAATAAAAACATCACCTATAATATTTACTTCCAAAACAAAACTGTGTTTTTCAAAAAACAAAGATGATGAAATTTGTAAATCATACAAATCTTCCACAATTAATATTATTGAGATTAAATTATGCAATAAAATCTTTTCACAATTTATTTACATAAAATTAATAGCTTGTGTTTAATATTCATTTTTTTATATTACATCTGTAATTAATTATTCAAAGAATAAAGAAAACATCCTGTTTGTTACAAAGTTAACTCATGCAAAATATTTTGTGGTTTAATATATTTAACAATTTGTCTTTCTATAATTTGTTAATAATCATTTATAAAAAATATATAAATAATGTACAATCAATATTCAATGTTATACACAATGAAACTGTGATGATTATAATAAGATACAAAACAAGAGCATCATATGCGATGTTAACTCTCATATGAAATTGTAAAGGGCAATGACTATCAATAGCCATTTTTGTTTTTTAAACAAGAGGCCCTAGATCGCTCGCCTGACCCATCAAACTCATCTGAGCAATTACCTAGACAAGCATCCTGACCAAGTTTCATAAATGTGACCTCTAGAGTGTTAACAAGGTTTTTCCATAATTATTTGAGCAGTGTGACCTACATGTAGTTTTTAACCCCAGGTGACCATTATTCGAACTTGACCTAAAAGTCATCAAAACAAAATTTCAGACTAATTTCCAGGATACTTGGATCAAAAACAGTAGCCACTAGAGTGTTAACAAGATTTCTCTATTTTTAGCTCCTGTGACCTAGATATTCATTCAAGATGACCCATGTTCAAACTCACCCTGAAGAGCATCCTGACAAAGTTTGATAATGATTTTTTTCCATATTTGGGCAGTGTGACCTAGTTTTTGACCCCAGGTGACCCATATTCGAACTTACCCTAAAAATCATCAAAACAAATTTTCAGACCAATTTCCAGGATATTTGGATAAAAACAGTAGCAACTTAAGTCTCCACAAGATTTTTCTATTTTTAGCTTCTGTGACCTAGTTTTTCAACTGAGATGACCCAAGTTTAAACTCATCTGAGCAATTACCTAAACAAGCATCCTGACAAAGTTTGATGATGATTGAGGTAAAAATATGTTACGCTAGAGTGTTAACAAACAGATGTGGACGGACAACCGACATTAAACGATCCTAAAAACCTCACCCTGAGCAAGCTCAGGTGAGCTTAAAAGAGTGTTAACACTATAACTCCTAAACATATTTCTTTCAGTTAATGCACACTGCCTTACAACTCTGCAATTATGTCTTGATTAACAAATATACCAAGTTTCATCTTGATACCTTTCATAGTTTTTAAATCATTCTACATTACAGGCAACTATGACAAACAATGCCAGGGTTTAAAGGGACATGATAGCAGTGTCTATTCTAGGATTGGAAAAACAGGGGGGATTTTATCGAAAAGTAAGAATTTTTAATTTTATTTCATTTGTTGATCTTTTTCCTTCTTTCAGTATGTAAAATTTTAACCCTGCCTCTGAAAAAATAAAGAAGGGGGGGGGGGGTTCTAAAAAATACGAGTGAATCACCCCATCCCCCTCCTACAGTCATTAAATTTAGCACTGGCCCAGGGCCCATGGCCAGTGTAAATTAGTTTGGGCCAGTGTAAATTTTAAGAAAATTTAGTTAAATATATCGTAGAATAAATTCAAAACTGGAATTTGGGCCAGTAAATTCAAAATCTTAAATTCATTGACTGCTCCTAGAATAGACACTGTGATGGTCATTATATTCCAAAAATATAGCTTTCAGAATAATGTCCCTTGTCTGACAACTGTGTTTTGTCATGAGAAACATGTGTTCCAAATTTCATTTTGACACCTTTCATAGTTTTTATTTTATTCTACTTATAAGGTTATTTCGGCAAAATATTAAAGTTGAAAAGAACGTTCATCCAAAAATATAGCTTTAAGAATAATGTCCCTTGTCTTACTACTTCACCTTGAATGTTTGAATAACGGATTTTATTAATTTGTTTGTGTGACGAAAACAACAACACAGCTATCAGAATACCTCACCTTTTTTTAGAGACAGACAAACTAAAAATTAAAACCATATGATCATCATTATATAAACACATAAGTCTGCTTTTATTCTTAGTTTTACACTATTCCTCCATGACCAGGGAAATACACTTTTATTAAAAAAAACACCCCTCACTTAAATTTACTCTTTTTTTTTCTCTGATACTTAAAATCTAAATCTAATAAAAGTGCAAATATATTATGGTACTACATACTGTTAGCAACTGTAGTTTGAGCAAACGTGTGCAGCACCAGAGAAAGTAGTACCAGCATTATCCATGTTACAGTTGCCATGTCAACCATATTGTCTCTATGTATGGTGTGTTACCTTTCTATTCTAATTATCATATCATCTACAATAAAAATAAAATTCAACACAACATTAAACATTATTATATATGTAGGAAGTAAAAAGATTTTCATAAAACAATTTAGAGGTCAAGGTCATAACTAATTTATTGGACATGTCTGTTTGGTCAGAAGTGTTGTTTTGTCCATGCATGAATCAAATCCATACATACATGTAACTAACAAAATTATGACAACTTAATCAAAATTCAAGAATTTGACCTTGACAGTCAAGGTCATTTAAAGCTAAAGGTCAAGGTCAGTTCAACCTTTTAGATGGTCTTGTCCAAAAGGTTATTTTGTTCAAGTATAAAGATAATCCATTTATTAAAAACCCAAGTTACAGCCAATTACATGTATAGCAATAATCAGAGAAAATTCCACAATTTGACCTTCAAGGTCAATGTCATGTATACATGAGTCATGGTCAATTTGTGTTTGATATACAAAAAGCCCTCACCTTAAAGATTTTGTGTATAAATATGAAGTTAATCCATTTATAGATAACAAAGTTATAGCCAGTTACTGGAAAAACAAGAGAATTCACCAATTCGAAGACCTAACAAAACGCCATTTTCTGGTACTTTCTGTACATAGCTCTGGGGAATTCACCTCATGCCAGGAGTGTAATAACAAACTCTATGCTTTTGGCCTTTTTGAATTAAAGTGAAATGAAACAGTTATTTCTTTGTAAGAAAATAATTAAATATCATTGTATGAATAACTTCATAAAAAAAATAAAGCAAATACACAAGTTTACGCAGAAAATATCTCTATTTATAATGGAAGATTCCACTATGACTGTTTTAATTGATTTTCATTATAAACATTTTTTTTTGAACAATTTGCAATAGATATTAAAGGGATATTGATAATTTTCAAACACATCACAGGGTTCTCACTAGGACTTTTAAACATGGAGTCCATGGACTCCCAAGCCTGAAAATGTTGGAGTCCAAAAGCATGTCGCAATTAATATGTTTACAGATTAGTCATTTTATGCTCAAAATAGACTTTCAAAGTTTATAGTTATTCAAAACAAACTCTGAACTACATAGTATAATTATTGTTTTGTTGTTAATATTAATTATGAAACAATAAAATTATAATGTATCAACTCTTGGAAATCGTTTTGTTTTTTTCACTTTTATACCAAATCAACTTTTATTCTGGCTAAATAAGTCCACTCTTAATATAGGCCAGTGTTGCGAATGAATAAAAAATTGTACTCCAACAGTGTGCAGATGATTATCCTAATGACACTTATGGCAAATTTAAATCAAAAAGATTTAACTGTAGGAAATCAAGTTATTCACATTTTCTTGAAACTCATGGCCTCGGATATTTAAATTTTAGGGTTTTGAAGTGAAATTGAGAGGATCTTTTATAGAATCCAATAATTCAAATGAAAAAGCGTTCCATGTATTTTGGTTAGATCAAATTGTCCTCATTTCGCAAAACAATTCCAATTAATTCAAAATTATGGTTTTTCTTGAAAATTGATTGCATATTTCTTTTATTACATAAATATTCACCATAAAAACCCACCTCATTTTTATCACCCTAGTTACATTTTCTACTTAGAGAGCCTAAGTTAAAAAGATATTAATTTACCTACCTGTGTTACAGACTTCCACATGCGCACAAGGAGATTCATTAAACAAACGTAAATTATTTTTAATATTAGCAAATTGAAAATTCGATATTGTAAAGATAGTTGAAGTGATTGATTAAGATAAAAAATGTAACTCGATTCAATTTTGCGATTATAAACCAGCCGACTTTCTCCCTCCAGTATTGCATAAACAGGTGTTTATAGGCAAAAATTAGAAATCAATGGATGTAGGTTTCAATGTTTATAGAAACAAATATAAAAAAAGGTTTCTGAGTTATTTGGATGTTGTTCAGTTTCCTGCATTCTTAGGCATAATATAACTTAAATTTCTAGATTTAATAATTCAAATATTTACTGGTTTGGGAGATAAACTCGGCCGAAAATCAGTGATTTGCGGGCATATTTCATTTATTTATTTACGTATTCTGATGAATATTGCACCATAAAAAACTTCAACTCTTCAATTTTCCGGTATCACCATAAAAGTTATATTTAGAAACATAACGGGTAATTTTGAGAGGCCCTGGAAGAGGTACGTAAAAAGGATATTTTTAACGCGCTCGAGTAGATAATTCCGGCTCTTTGTTTTTCTTCTTAAATGAGTAAGTTAAAACGTAAAATAACATGTTTAGACATTTTATTATTTCTTTGCTGTTCTTTTATGTCAAATAGAAAATATTTGTTACCAAAATTATTGAGCATTACGTTAGTATAATGAATATCTATGACAACACGATATTTATATGCAACGTACTATGTAACATATAAATCATTTTTACGTAAAAACACATGCATTATCATTTATTAACGTATAACGAAATATGTAGTAAAAGAACTAGTGATTCAAATTTATTTTTGCTTAGCTTAACAGAGTGAAGAAGAAATTAATTAAGTGGTATTCAACTTACACATTAACATAATATTATAAAAGGAGCATTTAACATCAGTCTTTCAATCCACTTAAAGATTACAATTGTGTAATCAGCCTTTTTTCTGAGTTAGCAAGACAAAAGTGAGTCTGAATTTCATCTACAAAATGTATACGTAAATGTTGTCACCTTTACCGGTAGTCGATCAATATATAAAAGTACCCCTGTGCGGGTCTCAAAATGAGCATCTGCTGCACATGCGCACAGCAATGGGATTCCCGTACTTTTTATAGGCATGTTTTGTAAACAAACAGGTAAAAGTGTGTGTTATTTTTTAAATATCTTACCAAACTTGACAAAATTTCCAGATATTGTCGAATTCCAGTGATAGTATGAGATGGTGAGCTTGATTAGATAAAAAATTTTGATAACTCGATTTAATTATAAAAAGCAGAGTTTATCAACCAGCCGAAGTTATCTCCCCAACCAGTATTGCATAAAACATGTGACATATTTATAGCAAACAAAATATATGAAATACAATGGAAATGTATGGGTTTTACCAATGTTTATAGAAAAAAATATTAACAAAAGTTTTCTGAAGAACTTATTACATGAAAGAATGTTTGTTAGTTTCTCATTACATTAGCATAATATAATATATAAATTTACATAGATTCTGAATAATTTTTCGGTTAAATACTCTTATAGAACATTTTTGCAAGAATGAAACTAAAGCAAAATTGTGCCTAGAAAATGCCGAAAATATTCGACAATAGTTCAAAATTACACTCATTTGTAATTTAAGAAAACAGTCTTTAAACTTGCGGCATAAATAGTCAATAGTTAATCCTTTTGTCGGTAAAATCCAATCAACTGTAGATCAAAAATAAAAAATTATCACCTCTTGTTATATCTGGTAATTACATGTAAAGCGCATGTATACATTAGTCTGATCCCTATTGCGTGATAATGATCGAAAGCGTTATCGCTGATTGGCTAATCGCTTCACTGGTAGATGTGCATAGGACTGCCTACCTATACACTGACACGCGCTGACGTATTCGTGGTTGTAAACAATCAGTAATGTTTATGTGTCCCCAGGCAAAATTAAGCGTACGCGGAATCCTTGCTCTGAAATATTTGCGTCCAGCTGTAATAAACATGCGTACCGGACACCGAAATCAGCGTCCCTGAGAACCCTGCATCAATTTTCTTCACCTTATCAAGGCTCTCGGGGACGCTTATTTTGGCGTCCCGGTACGGGGTGTAATCAATTAAATCGATATCTGTGTATCAACGATCTTTGTTATCCGTTTTGATATTGATTCCATTTTTTTAAATATCGGATATCGAATGCACACATATTTCTAGCTAAAGAGACTTCAATGAAGTTCATCAAACAGGTTTTATAGTACTGATAGACCAAACATCAAAATAAAAATTAAAAGAGACATATAAAGTTATGGAAGCCAGAACTAACATATTTCAAACTTTTTTTTTCCAAAACGAAAACAGAAATCAACACCAGAGGAACCTCCCAGTGTCTCTAACGAATGCTGCCGAATTTCGTTGTAATCTCGCGTGTCTGCTAAGCGGGGGTCAAGAGGTGTTTGGACTTTACACCTCCTGGATGTTTCACCCCTAGACGTTTCACCCTCAAAACCCTGGTCTTTTCATCTCCACTTTTTAAATTTATAATTAAATATATGAAATAAATACCATTATGGGTTATAATATTATATATAATATAACACAACACATACTTGCAAACAATTACATTCATGATATAGAGAAGATTTTTTTGACATAAATATAGTGAAATTTCCCTGGAAAAATGATTATAAATACAATGTATGAGTTCTGAAAGAATTATCAGCTATAAGTCTACATGTATATATATTAATTCTTTTTTTTTTTGTTATCCAAAAATCAAATACCATAGAAAATATTGATCAATTAAAGTATGTTTTTATATAACAAAAAAGAACAATTAGAAGTGTGAACGAATTTTGAATAAAACATTATAAACACTGGTTTATAAATCACTAAATTGGCACCTTTAGAAGTGTGTAACTTAAAGTTCTCTGTAACAAATTTGTGAAAATTTAATTGATTTGTCAGATCAAAGTACCTTTTTTTAATAGAATAGACTAAAGAAAATCGAAGGCCAACAATTGCAAAAAATAACTGCATATTTGATTTAACAAATGAGTAACAAGCAAATGCCTTTAATTCACAATGTCTGATTGTGTGTATCTTTGTGCTTCTTGCTTTGAATTTGTGTTAGATGATGATTTAGCAGTTTCTTGTGATGGATGTAATTCTTGGCAACACATTGATTGTAATTCAGGTGAGTGATAATAGGAGGTGTAAAGATTAAAGGTGAAACGTCCAGGAGGTGTAAAGACTAAAGGTGAAACGTCCAGGAGGTGTAAAGTCCTGAAATCGGTCAAGACCCCCCAATTCAGATTTTTAAACGGAAAATGCCAAGAAAATTGACCATCACTGTTTTTATTAATTAGCCATTGAGTCTGATTTTGCAAGCGCTACACAAAATTGTAAACCACTGAAAATAGTGATCAGAAAAATCAAGCGCTGTGATGAATTACATGGCACAGCAGCGAGATTGACTTTGAGATTAAGGCACAGCAGGAGCGTGGTGCTAAAAGCCCATGGAGAACTGAAAATCCTAACCTGTCTTTCTTCCTTTTCTATCAAACTACTCCTGAGGATGTAAACATATAAATTGTATAAAATACAGACAGAATATTGACAACAAAAGTAGGCCCTACTTGACACTTGGTCTTGGTAAACTTCACAAACAATGAAAATTATTCAAGCAGTTGATATAATTTTTTCAATAGGTCTATAACAATAAAATAATTATGAAAATAATCTATCGTTGAAAAACGAAATAAGCATACATCATTTGTAGGACTTTGTCGTTGTACTCCCTTAGCTCATAAAAATTACATTTGTTGCTTGATTCAGTAAATAATCAACTTTTTGTCTCTATTTATTTCCTACGTTAACTGCGCATGCGCAAGTCAATGTAAATAGAATAATTTCTGTACTTATTTTTAAACCCGTGATTCATCCGGTTTGAGGGAAGATCCCGATACCCGGGACCAAGAATAAAGGAACTGAAATAACCTTTGATCGGTAGACAGACGTTTTACTATTAGGACGGTTCACACCAAGACGTTTCACTCCCAAATGGGAGTGAAATGTCTTGATTATTCTGATGCTTGTGATATACTAAAATATACCTTAAATTTAATTAAATGAATTAAAAAACTTAAAGGGGATTTCACTTTGTCTCAGTACTTTAAGTTTGTATTTCATAATTGTTAAAGTTTATTTAGTTATTTTACTTGATTGGAGAGATCTTTGCAAATCATTTAATATAATTTATTTATATTTCATTATCTGATTAAATATATTATTTTACTTTTGTTATATATTTAATACAAAACTTTTTGAGAAGTTTCTGTTTCCAAGGCCTTTGTTATATGTGGTTGTTCATGTTGTCTGGAAAAAAAATTAATGGGCCAATAAACAACTGATTAGTAAACTGTTGATGCTGAAGTATAGTGTTTATACAACTGATTTAATAGTGATGTCAAACTGTTTATAAAACTAATTAGGTGATAAGATTACTGTTAACACCACAATTACACAAGTTTGTTTAAAGGCTTCTGTTTAATAAATTGATAAAGAAATGATTTAAAAGAATAATTAATTTTATACACATTTTTATTACTTTAAAAATATTATTTCAATAAAAATAATTACGAATACGAATACAAACTTTATTCAGCATAAAACATAGTACAATGTTTATAGCCACAGAAATACAAATAAACATATACATACAATGAGAAACAAAACAATTTTCCGGAGATTATATAAATATTTGCCAGAAAAATAAACAATTCTAGATTTTCATACAACCTAAGTTTCTATGTGTCGTCCATATTGTTATATGGTTATGTGTGATCAAGAAATACGTTTCTGATTTGCAAAATACAAAAATTTAGACAATGCCAACAATGAAACAATAAAAATAATTGATATCAAATTAATGACATTATTTCCATGTGTGGCTTATTTTCTATGAAAGTGCTAATGAAAATATTATTCTTAAGGATAGTATATCTTAAAGTATAATTTATATTAAATATTGCTTTACAATAATTATGTGTTTTGTGATACATAACCAACCATATCTTTACCATAACAAAAACATTTTTAAATGCAACAAAAATGAAAAAAACAAGTATATTTCAGAACTTGTATGCTGTCAGTGCACGAAATATTGTATAATTTAGTTTAGGTCTTAGAAACATTTAATTGCTTATTTAAAACAGAAAAAACATACATATATGTCATTTTTATATGCCCGAAAGAATTTCGGGCATATTATGTTATACCCCCTGGCGTCCGTCCGTCTGTCTGTCTGTCCGTCCGTTAGCAATTTGGTTTCCGGAGCATAAATTAAGTTCCATTTGGCCCACAATATTCAAACTTCATAGGATGACTGTCCATATTGGGTAGAAGACCCATATTGATTTTGGGGACACATGGTCAAAGGTCAAGGTCTATTACCTTAAAACTGAAAATAGTTTCAGGAGCATAACTTTAATTCCATTTGGCCCAAAGTGTTCAAACTTCATAGGATGATTGTCCATATTGGGTAGATGACCCCTATTGATTTTGTGGTCACAAGGTCAAAGGTCAAGGTCACTATTACCTTAAAACTAAAAACAGTTTCCGGAGCATAACTTAAGTTCCATTTGACCCACAGTGTTCAAACTTCATAGCATAGTAGTGCAGATATAGGAAAGTTTGTGTTGTGGCGGTGTAGGTGCAGAGGTGTGGGTGTATTGAGTCATGTGTATTGCACCAGCGGTGTATTATTACACCATGAAGCAGAGAATGCGCGAAAGTAGATGCTTATCACACACGATTAATGAGTGTCATGTATGAATAATATTTACATTTATAAAATGTGTATTGGTCATAGAAAAAAGATGCTTATCATTGTCAATAAATTTTTTTACGAAGAAAGACGCTTATCGATCATTAGTATCATTTAACTGTTAGTTATAGATTGTAGGCATTTTTTTTACTGGCAATTTTTATGAAATATATGGGTGATTTTACCGATTTCATTTAAATCAAGCGCGCAATATAGTTTACAATTTTACTTGTTCCTTGTCATGGAGAGTTTCTATATAATCAGGTGAGCGATTTGAGGACCATCATGGCCCTCTTGTTATTAATGATATTCCTTGACATAACGCTGTTAGCTCTAATTTGACAATGAATCAGCGCGTGACCATCTAAATATAAATTATCAAGATCAGTTATTTGGAAGTCATTTAACAGTGGGTATCCATCTAATGATGAAATTAAATAATCAATGACTGAAACATTTCTAAAAGTCATATTGCCAATGTTTTTATCTGCTCCTAATATATAATAATAATATATATAATAACTAAATTATTGTTTTTACATATATATATCAGTTTATAACCGTTGTTTTCTTGTTCCTAGACTTCCGGGTGTGACTTATACCTCTTAGTTGCATAACTGCTTTTTGGTAAATAAAAAACCTTGACAGTATCAAAATCAAAATATTGCGATAAAAAAGTATAGCCAGTATATAGTAAAGTCTAACATTTGAGCTGTTTGAGCATTAAAATCCCCGAACAAAAATACAATATTATACTAATTACAAATTTCAGTACTTCATTTTCAAACAATTCAAACTCCTTATTACTATAATATATAGATTGCATAGAAGGTATATAAACTGGGCCGATTAAGATATCATTATGAAGACCACAGAACTTACTGCTAAGTTTTAGCCAAAAAATGTAACCCGTCTGTATTAAATTGTTTCTATAAAAGGTATAATAATATTTTTGATAAATGTCCTGTGTATTTTTTTGTTGTTGTTTTTATTTGTTTGGGTCGTCAGATCAAAGAAATAATGGAAGCGAAATTTTAGACCCTAATGTTCTTATTTGCAAATGCCGAAAGTAGTCCAAACTCCTCGAAGCGGTTACTTCCCTTCGTATGTACATTAACGCCGAAAAATTAAGGGGAGATCACTGCGTAAAGATTGTCAAATGACAGGCGCATTAATTTTCGTAACGTAAAAATAGTTCCCGATTGGTCGAAAATTTCTAATATTGTGTTATTATTATAGATATACATGCTTATATTCAGCTCCATGATTATTTTCAACAGGTTTACCGTGAACAAAATATATCGAAATTAATAAGGGCTACAAATTTAGAATAATATGGTATTCTTCAAGCAGTTATCTCATAACTCCCCGTGGTCGAGGGGTTTACACGCTCGCTTTGGAAGCGAGAGTTCTAGAGTTCAAATCCCAGTTCAGTTTTTTTTGTTGTTTTTTTTTTAGCCAAATAAACATTGAATTGAATATCAGTGTTGCAATTAGTCTCATAGCCAATTTACTATAGCACTGGAAAACAGCATTGGTGACACTATACAAACAAATTGGTTTATAATCTCACAACCTTCACCTTTCTGACATTCTGAGACCCAAACAAATTCAGCGCCTTCTGTGCTTTGACTTTGTTTTGTTTTCTTTGTTTTCTTGGCTTATTTACAAATGTGTATCCATTAACAAAAATAGTATCTGTTTTGACAAGTATGGTTTCGGACACAAGAACTATGTAAACATTTTCTATCAAATTAATAAAATTGGGGAAGTTACATATGTTGAACGGATTTGATCCAAGCAAACTTTCATCCATACATTTATCTAAATGATAAAAGTATACTATGCAAATAAATCTTTTATCTCTTTTTTTTTGTTTTGTGGCTTGAACCCCGATTTTTACATCTGTGTTTTGTAGGCAATATCTCGGCCATTTTTTTTGCAAGCTCATGTTACACTCTAAATGTATCAGTCGATGTCGAACAAGGAAGATGACTTGTACAATTTATAAATCTGAAGTAATTCAACTGTGTGTTGATTTTAAATGAGCCACGTCACGACAAAACCAACATAATATGTTTGCGACCAGCATGGATCCAGACCAGCCTGCGCGTCCGCGCAGTCTGATTAGATCCATGCTGTTCGCTATCAGTTTCTCTACTTGTAAAAGAGATGGTAAGCGAACAGCATGGATCCTGATCAGACTGCGCGATGCGCAGGCTGGTCTGGATCCATGCTGGTCGCAAACGCATTACGTTGGTTTTGTCGTGACGCGGCTCAAATCAATTTTCTTTAATACTTTTCACGATATGCCCTGAATTTTTAGGTTATTAACATATTTATTTCAAACTTTTGTCTGCAATATAATGACCAGTTATAAAATTGCATTGTTAATGCGAACTTGTTTCAGGAAGTCGGCTTGTGTTATAAAGTTTGTCATTCTAAAAATATCTTACTTTCTTTTTTTACGTGTAGCTTATTTACATATGAATGTACCACTTGAGGAAGTACAATATATAATATCAAAGTTATTCATTTCTAACTTAACTTCAACATACGTAATACTTTTGTGAATTCAATCCAAATATTTTATCATGTTTTACTAAGATACCATAAGAAAATGATGGAAACAATGAATAGACGTTGTGTTGAAATACTTGTTACATTCATTATCTTTGTGAAACTTGGGAGTACGGATAGGATTGTCGAACATTGTTACGAAGTAAACAGTACAAGTTTGTTATGTAACTATATTCCAACGACATTGCCCAGACTGTACAAACATGTCCGTATTGTAGACTTGAAAAGAAAAGGAAGAGAATTCTCAATAAATAGTTCCAGTTTTATTCATGAAAGCTGGGCTAAAGTTCAAACAATCGAGTTCAATGGTACAACAGAACCGGGATATTATCCTTGGTGTACCTTCTCACGAGAATGCTTTAAAGGATTAATATCATTAAAGGAATTGAAAATCCATGTCGGTTGTTTTGTACTTGATGCATACGCGTTCGTCGGTTTACAAGCAGTCCATACATTAGATGTAAGCAAATCTCATCGCCTATGGATACCAACTTTGG